TCACGTACTATTTTTTTTCTTCTGATCCAGTTTGTGAAATATTTTTGTCAAAGACCATATAATCCCCCTGTGGTCTCTTTTGGGACAACAGATCAGGTTGTTGCATTGTTTTCTGCAATAATCCTGGTACTCCAGAGGGGAGAGGTCCCTGGCTGCTGCATTATTACAGATATATGGAGAACACATTAAGTCAGATTTAGTCCTGGCTTACAATCATGTCTATAAGTTTAAAAAAAAAAAAATCCATTATATTCTTTATGTTTAAGAACGCTCAGAGCAAGTCTGAGAAGTCAACACTGTCTATGTGTGTGTTTTATTTATGAGTGTGTGTATTCCAAGTCAATGAATCTGAATGTTTCCGGTAGAGAAATGAATTAGGTCAGATAAGATTAGCAAACCGGACAACGCTGAGAAAGGAAAAAGAAGAGGCAGGAGGAAGATAAAGTGTGTGTGTGTGTGTGTGTGTGTGTGAGAGAGAGAGGGTGAGAGGGAGAACAGAATAAAACAGGACAGGAGAAACATGAGAATTTAAGCGAGAAATATGGAGATTTTTAGGGTCAGTGGAAATGCAGGTTCATAAAAAGGTTACAGTGAAACCTAAAATAACACAAAAAAAAGTTACACAACAGTTAATTCTGTTTAAGAAATAAGTAATAATTTTTTTAAGTTGCAAGAGGAAAGACATGACAGAAGACAGACATGGCAGGCGTTTCCACCTTTTGAATACTTACATAATTTATATTCATGCATATCTCACTTTTGTTTAGTATAATTTTACCTTCAACAAAAATCATATTAATAGTTAATTTGCAGGTTTCCTCAATCTTGAAAACCCTTGATTTTGAATTGAATGTCCATTCCGATGTACATCAGGTCTTTTCTTCTGGGCTAATATTGAAGTTATCAAGTTTAGTCGGTAATATTTAACTGTACAGTGTACAGCTAAAGAGGTTATTGGTTATTGTAGTCCATTAACTACCATGTGTACTACATTTATGCTGATGTTTGGCTGACATGACCAAGTATACTTTCAAGAAACTAGGCTTGAAAGACATCAGAGCTTTAACTACTAGCATGTAACAATAGTTTTGTTGTTTTAAATGAACAGTTTTTAGTAAAAACAACACATTGTAAGCCTACTTGTGTTTATAACTAATAGATACATGAATGAAACAGCCATTATTGGGAAAACCTCAATCATCCACATTCACTGTGATGAACGTGCAAATAACATACAAATTCAGTATAATTTCTACATGGGACAAAGTTAAGAAAAAAACTCAAGTGTGAAAACAAATACGGGTTAAAATTAAGGAATTTAGAGAAAGTGATGTAAAACACACGTAAAGGCCACAATTATTTAAAAAGATTAATAAGAAGAAGTAAATATTTCCAGCAGACGGCCACATGATGTGGTTGGTGAGACTGGAAGTGCACAGCTGGCTGCCGCTTCTTATTGCTGCTGCTGCTGCGTGATGGAGTTGAATTATTAGTGCGAGGCGTCAGGAAGCCTGCCACCCTATTCTCACAGCTAGTAACCTCTAAAAATAGATCGGAGAGAGACTCAGTGAAAGAGTCGTCATGGTTTGTATCTTACTGGTCAGAAAATGATCCTGATACATTTAAGAAGATGGTGAAATCTAGTGGCAAAAATCAGACACTGCAGTCTCTAAGTCGTATTAGAGGATTTGAGTTCAATAAACACAAAAAGCTTTACTGAAAGTACCTTTTCTGAGAAATAAAAAAATATTAATAATAAACTGCATCATAGCATATGTTTCAAAGAGTTACAACCAGTGGTGGAAAGTAATTGAGCTCATTTACATTTAAGTAACATTTTGAGGTACTATACTTGAGTATTTTCATTCTCTGCTGAACCTCTACATTTCAGAGGGAAATTATATACTTTTTACTCTTCTATTTGTATTAACTTTAGTTACTTTGTAGATTCAGATTAATAATGCAAAATATAATCAACAAATAGAGAATTATGCATTATTATAAGTTAAGATTTATTGATCTCCAAGGAAAGATTCACAAGCTACCCAGCAGTGTATAAAATAATTCAAATTAACTCCACCTGTTAGGGTTTGACCAAGAAACTGGACTCAAATGCACGACTCAAAAGACAAACAGGATTCAGAGGCTAATCAGTTCCTTTTTTACTGTAGCAAAGTTCAGTACACAGGTAATCCACAAAAAAGACAAACAAGTCCAAAAGGGGCAAGGCAAAAAGGCTAGTCAAAGACCTAGAAAACCAAAGTACATGAACACAAGAAATACTGCTGCTTGAGGTGATTGAGGGCAGAGCAAACCATTACCAGTGGCAGAAAACACACATGGAAAGGAAGTGAGAGAATCAGAAACAGAAAGAGGGAAAGAAAGGTACAAAATAAAACAGGAAACACACAGAACTTAACAGATAAAACTACAATGACTGAACCATGGCACCATCTTTACTAGCTGCGCTATTGCAGTGATGCACGCATGAATGCATCCAGTAATATAATGCACATTATTCTGAAAACAGCAGTTCTGCATAATATTATTTTTTACTTTTTATACATTAAACATTAAGACATATATACAAATAGTCTGCTTGGATCAATAATGTGTGTCTGATATATTGTTATGCAAAAAAAGTACATTTTCCATTAAATTCCTTTAAAAAAATCATCTACTCCTTCTACCTCATTACAAATTTATATATTCTATAATAATATATATTTTCCTACTGGACACAAGATGTCTCCTACTTCACTGAAAAGTCTATTTTCTCAGTGTTTGTGCACTAGCACCTTCATGTTTCTATCACATAAGTATATGTATAAGTTGCATACTGGACAGAAAAAATTCCACCTGATCACTCACTATAGTTGATAATTAACAATCTCCTGTAAACTTTGATCTGAACATGACCACAACAAATATAGGCCTTACAGAGTCTATCAATTAAAAAGAAATCCTACTGCAAACACAGGTTACAATTTGTAGTTTTACTGAGGTAACACTGAGGTTTGACACTTATTTGGAAATTTGAATTTTGTTCAGTTTTTATTACTGATGATAATTTTCAGTCAGGTTTTTGGTTCTTCATGTTCCTTGAATGTTGTCTCCGCTTCACTGACTAGAAATGACACTTGCAGATATAATGATGTCACTCAGGCTATAAAATAGTGCAGCAATTAAGAAATTGTTCTACCAACATAAAGTATTTATTTTTTACATTCATCTTCTTTATCCTGCTGATTTACTAGCAATCCATCTCAAACCTGCAGATAGTTTTGCAGGCACATTATGTGACATTATGTGAAAATGAGTTTGATACGATCTGTTACTGTTTTTGATGCATTTAAGATATTTGCTGAATCTTAACAGGTCTGTGTCATATGAAGGATTTTGTTACTGTTTTGTTTGTTATATATTTTAAACCGGCTGTTTCTTTCAAAGGAACGTATAATACTGAAAGTCTGGACACCAATGACACAGTCAACACAGCCTTTTTGTGGTTAAAACTATGATTTATAGGGCATTGGGAAAATTGTTATTCTCCACTAAAACCACTTGAGACTGAATAATTTACATCTCACTTCTTTCTCAGTTACCACCTTCATTATCAGTCTGACATCGTATGAAGAAGAAAATACAATTTAAAACAGTGACAGATTTTGATATATAACAACTTACTATCTATCTTACTGTGACTTACTAATGATGTCCTGTCTCAGTTGTGTATCATACACACTAATGTTTGAATATATTTGAATTTTTGTGAAAGAAATGTTACGCCATATAGTTTTGCTATTGGTGGTTTTCGTGTCAGTGGGTCATGTATCCTTTGCAGCTGCTTCTCCCCAAATAGGTTATACATAAGGTATTGCATAGGGAATACACCACACACACATTCACAAATTCCTATAATGCTCATGCACTGTATTTTCATTATCACTGCCATCTAACTTTGTTATTTTAATGAAAATGGCTTTATTTTCAGAGTAGGTTATCCCCACAGAAGCCACAAATGATGATGACACCACTCAGAACCTCACCATAACAAACTGAACATTTGGAGAAATTAAGGAGCAGGTCCTGATATGTTGCAAGGAGTTGTAAAGAGCAGGGACAGATATAGTGCACAAGACAGTAAGTGTTTGAGAATACTTTTAAATATATTTAATGCTATTAAAGGTGTCTAAAAAACATATATTTAATGAAAATAAATATTTTCACTCATTAGCACTAATATTTCCAGATGGGCTGTACTACCTGACCACTGCTAATGGCATGGTCTATCAGACCTTCTGTGATATGACCACTGCGGGAGGCGGCTGGACGCTGGTGGCGAGCGTTCATGAGAACAGCATTTATGGAAAGTGCACAGTGGGTGATCACTGGACGAGCCAGCAGGGCAACAATGCTAACCTTCCAGATGGAGATGGGAACTGGTCCAACAGAAACACCTTTGGAACAACAGAGGGCGCCAGCTTGTATGATTTTAAGGTACACAGACAACTTGACAGTATCTAATAAGTAACTACTGAGCTACTTCCACTATTGCACATTGTTGGCTTACTGTTAGGTCAAAATGTCTGCCATGAAAAAGGTCTATTGGTGCTGGTCAAATAAAGTACTGGCACCATTGTTACATAAAATTCTGTAACCCTTCACATTTTGTGACGTGATGAGGAATTTGAGTGATATTGCATAGTATATCATATTATTGGAATATTATTTTAACTTTCTTCTTCAATCAAACATGGTGCATCTATAGTATTTTCATTGGGTCACAAATTTAAAATGTGGCATTCAGAAATCTGTGACGCTAAGAGGGTTAAGTGCATGAAAAAAACAGGGTTAATCCACAGTCTAAAGGTCAATCAGGTGAGTACTCTACTATGCACACATCTGCTATCACAGCAATCAGAATGTGTGACTCTCTATGGAGGCTCCATCTTTGGTTACAGTTGCTATACATTTTGGGATGAAGTATAATAAAAAGTTTTTTCTTCAGTCATAGAATCTGGTGGGTTACAGGATTTGGGGTAGTTGCATTTTTATTTGTCAATAAAAGGTAAAGGTCAGAGGAGGAAAAATTAGTGGAAGTGACTACAATTAGAGTCATTACTATAGCGTGTGCACTGTCACAGAATCCAGGTTACTATGATATAAGAGCAGAAGACATCTCTGTGTGGCACGTTCCCAACGACTTCCCACTGGACCACTGGAACCTGGCAGCCATCCTCCACTACCACACCAACAACCGCTTTTTCAGACTGTATGGAGGGAACCTCTTTCAGCTCTTCAAGGTAACGTAAAAAAAGAAGGTATGAACTATGTGAGGGATAATTCCTGACTGTATGGTCCATTATTTGTAATTGCTGACGTGGAACAACCCTTCACAGAATCCATCACAATCATAGAGTCCTAATCCGGGCTAGGGTATTATCCTGATTATGGCACATTCCCACAAAATGCCATATGTAATCAATAAAAAAAATATACTTAATATAAAAACTTATAATATAAACTTAAAATAAACTTGGATTAAGACATACCATAGTTGCCTGTTGATAGCCTTCCTATGCATTCAACGTAGGCTTTGTTATGGTGAAGTTAAGATTGTGCTTTTATAGTTTAATCCTTAATTGTCAGTGCACAGTTGGTTCACTTGGTAGCTGCATCCATGTAAGATTACGTGGGTGCTCAGAACCTGCAACTCTTAATGTGGGAATGAATTGTATCTTGCACATGCACTAGCATTGAGCAGTCAATTTAGTACAATGTGGCCTCTCTAGATATATTTATTTTTGGTCAAACATATTTGAAATTAAATTTGTGTGGTTCTCATTAGGAAGTTGTTGGTGTTTACACAACTAATCTGAACAGCAAGCCCTTTGGCATAGCCTTACTGCTACTATCTTTACCTACAGTGTAATAGTGGTGTATTCATTTAGAACTACTATCAAATGCGTACATCGTAGGCGTTAATCCACACCTTCCAGTGGTCATGATATAAAAAGTGTTACCAAAAATTACTACTTCGATATTGTCACATTCTTCCAGTGAGATACAATGTCGGCTCGTGCAGCAACAGAGGGCCAGCTGTTCCCATTGTGTATGACCATGGAAACAGTGCAACTTAATGTTACCAGTATACCATTTGGATGTCTTTTGACAATGTATAAGCCAGTAGGTAGTAAAATGTAAATGGCAGACAAGATGCTTTATTAATAAATTAGTTAGAACAAGATAACAGAAGACCTTTGGGATTGTTATGATTATATATTTTAGTATATTTTCATTTCACGTGTTCCTTGTTTGAGTGATGTTCCAATAAGTAATACAATAAATGTCGATAAAACATTAATCAGTTTGCACTTTGAGCTTCTTAATGTCAACAGAGACTTATGAAAAAGGGCATATATAGTTGTGAAGATCGAGAATAAACCACAACACATTTTACAACGATCAACACAGGTAGGAAATAGATATTTTGTCACAAAAAGGTGCACTGGGGATGGGGATATGACAAGTGCTGTTCAGTCTTTATGTCCGTAAAGTCGATCAGTTGGCGGTCATGCCCCTTCAGTCTTTCCCCATCCAGGTGGATTAAAGATCCAACACATCTGTACATATTTAATTCCATAACCAGGTTATGCTCAGTGTTATCTGTAAACTACCAACCTGTTAATAGACTACTTTTATATTCTCAAGCCAAACCATTGATGAATGAATCATTATGCCTCACTTCTTTCTCAACTCCTAAGACCTGTTTCATTATCAGTGGGTGACTGCCTTGATGAAGGAAATCCAACAGAAATGAAGTAAAACAACTCAGAAAACATCAACATTTGCTTTCCAAATCCCAAACCCTTGTAATACAGAGTTACTTGATTCATATTCTGACAGATTTTGCAGCATCAATTACTTTTTTTGCACGAGTAGCCAAACATTCTGAACACCTTTAGCCAGAGCAGCAACATTTGTTTGCATTGCTCCTTTATGCCTTTATTAAGACACAACTTAATATCACAAATTTCAGAAATCCAGTGTTGTATCCTCATTTGAAATATCCATATTTGTTTTGATAAGTGGGACACAAAATAATACTAGCAACTTAATGTTACCAGTATCCCATTTGGATAACTCTTGTTCTTTTGTTCTAGAATTTCTCCTATGGGGGGATTAATAAAGCTATATCTTATCTTATCTTTTGACAATTTTTAAGCCAGTAGGTAGTAAAAGGTAAAGTGCAGACAAGATGTTTTATTAATCAATTAGTTAGAAGAAGATAACAGAAGACCTTTGGGATTGTTATGACTATATATTTTAGTATATTCATTTCATGTTTTCCTTGTTTGAGTGATGTTCCAGTAACTAATACAATAAATGTCGATAAAATATTAATCAGTTTGCACTTTGAGCTTCTAAATGTCAACGGAGACTCATGAAAAAGGGCATATATAGTTGTGAAGATCGAGAATGAACCACAACAGATTTTACAACGATCAACGCAGGTAGGAAATAGATATTTTGTCAAAAAAAGGTGCACTGGGGATGGGGATATGACAAGTGCTGTTCAGTCTTCATGTCCATTATGTTGATGAATGTTCTGTCTCCACATCTGTTACTTTATATTTCTGAATTATGGAAAAAAAAAATTGATGTTAATCTGAAACCTTCCTGAATTTCTTTAATCTTTGTAAAAAAAATTACGTTTTTGCTCTGGGGAATTTCTGATTTTGGCTGATAGATTTATTAGGTTTTAATTGCTCTGTGTGTGTATGGGATAACATACACTGCAATAATATGTACACATATGCTTCTTTAATCTTTAAATGTATTTAATATTTTTTTTCCCACAGATATGTTATACCATATGCTTTTGTTTTTGGTGGTTTTGGTGTTGGTAGAACATGCCGCCTTTGCAGCTGCTGCTTTAGAAATGGGTAAAATACAAACATACATACAAGAAATTTCCTACATCAGCTCATCCACTGTTTCCTTTCATAAACCACTTCTATCTAACGTTCTTATTTGATCAAATTTGGCTCTGTTTGCAGTAAATGAAGAGCTCACCCACACAGAAGCCACCAGGGATGTTGAGACACCTCAGAACCTCACCAGAACAAACTTTGAACATTTGGAGAGACTGAGCAACAGATCCAGATATGTTGCAAGGAGTTGTAAAGAGATCAGGGACAGATATAATGAACAAGAAGGTAAGATGACATTTCTCTAGTAGTCTGACATACTTCTAATGCAGTCAATGTGGTGCAGTCCCCTCAAGCACATGTTTTGAACAAATATTTTGGCACTAATTAACACTAATATTTCCAGATGGGCTATACTACCTGACCACTGCTAATGGCATGGTCTATCAGACCTTCTGTGATATGACCACTGCGGGAGGTGGCTGGACGCTGGTGGCGAGCGTCCATGAGAACAGCATTAATGGAAGGTGCACAGTGGGCGATCGCTGGTCGAGCCAGCAGGGCAACAATCTTAACCTTCCAGATGGAGATGGGAACTGGTCCAACAGAAACACCTTTGGAACAGCAGAGGGCGCCACCTCAGATGATTTTAAGGTACACTAAAGTATTCTCTCTTGTGGGCAACCTCAAACACACCCACCAAACAAGAGAAAACTTATCTCAAAGGACAGGGTTGCACACCGTTTCAGACTGCCATTTCTCAAAGTTGATAACTGTTAGTAAGGAGGACTTTCTACTTTCTACTGATCAAGTTATTATTTTCTTTATCGTTTTATTAGTCTATAAAACTCTTTAGGTATAATAAGTCTCAAGATGGGATAATGAGCTATGCCTGTTTGAATGTGCACTAAACCTTGATTAGAGTCATCACAATAGTGTGTGCACTTTCACAGAATCCAGGTTATTATGATATAAAAGCAGAAGACATGTCTGTGTGGCACGTTCCTAACAACTTCCCACTGGACCACTGGAACCTGGCAGCCATCCTCCGCTACCACACCAACAACCGCTTTCTCAGACTGTATGGAGGAAACCTCTTTCAGCTCTTCAAGGTAACTCAGTTGTGCGGGGATGTTAAATTATAATTTGGTTAAAAAATGGATGAGGTATAGAACATGACAATAAAATAAGAAATCATTAACTACACAAGCAAACCTGCATGATGATATTGTCACATTCTTCTTCCAGCATTATCCAGTGAGATACAATATTGGCTCGTGCAGCAACAGAGGGCCAGCTGTTCCCATTGTGTATGACCATGGAGATAGAGAGACCACCAGAATGTTTTATGGACTTAAACCAAGAAGTAAGAGCTAATGTTGCAAAATAGAGATAATAAAACTCTTTTCACCATTGCAGTAAATCAATCTGGATTGGTGCTTAGGGCTATTAATGTATAATTGTCCCAAAAACATTCATTTAAAAAATAGGAGTAATCTAATTTTTAATTAACTTTCAAGGTTAAAGATCCAGTGCTTACCATTTAAGAAAGATTAAATGGCAGAAATAGAATATAAGTTTGTTTTCATTAATGTATAATTACCTGAAAATAATAATATTTATGTTTTTGTTACCTTACAATGAGCTGTCTTTATCTACAATGGTCATAGGTCGCCTTCTGTGTGCAGTAGCCCAGAACGGACAAACCAAACACTGTCTCTAGATAGGGCCATTCAAATTTTTTGCGTGTTTTGCAGCCACCATAGTTTGTCCCTCTCGCTTGTAAAGGGAGGGTGAATTGATTGAGTAGTAATCTGCAACTCCACCACTAGATGCCACTAATTCCTACACACTAGACCTTGAAAGCTTATCCTTGAATTATAAAATGGTTAATAAACTAACTAATAAAACCAAATGCTGCTGTTTTTAAGATAGACTTTGATAAACTCATGTTGCTTTTTCTGTTTAAATAAAAGAGGAATTTGAACCAGGATTCATCACATTCAGAGCAATAAACAATGAACGTGCAGCCATGGCTATCTGCTCTGGGGTCAAACCGATCGCTGGATGCAACACTGAACATGTGAGACTGAATCAATTATCACACTTCTGCTCAAAACAGCAAATGATGCACAGTGTAATAATACTGTTATTCTATGTGTGTCTCCAGTACTGTATAGGAGGAGGTGGATATTTCTACCCTGATCAGTGTGGGGACTTCCCATCATTTGACTATGACAGTCTGGGAATGGGTCAAGGCTGGAGCGCTTCCAAAGAGATGACTGAGGCTGCTGTCTTACTGTTCTACCGCTGAGAGGATTATATTTTGCAAGTAGATGAGTGTTGTTTATGATGGGTGCAAACCAAACCAGCTGGTGGAGGCCTGGGGGAGGCTGGAGATGAAGTCACTTAAATAGGCTGAGGCCCATCAAGTCAACCATAAAAGCATTTGGCAGGGAGTACGCCACACTAGTAACAGTCCCTTTTGTACCCATTTAGATGTTATAGCAAACAGTTGTTTGTAATTCAGCTGCTCTCCAGCAGATGGTGTTATTAAACTGTATATTCAAATAAAACATCAAGCATTGTTGGATGTTTCAGTTTAAAGTTGTCATCCTGATCTGTAACCTAGTTGGGGAGGGGGCTTTGTGCTGCTCAAAGTCACTATCTTTTGAATCCTCTCTGTCCATTGACATCAACTGAAGATTGAGGCTGTCTGCTTGACCACTGTGATGTCCTGTGATGTCCTGTGTGCTATCATCTCACCTATAAACTACCCACATAGACCTAACCTGGGATGGACAGACCTTCAATTTAGGAATGAGGTTAGATTGGAGGTCATTTAGCTGAAAGAAACAAGCTAAAGTATCCACTGTTTAGTTTTCAAGGAGCCTGCACATGCCACATAACATTTTACTTCAACCACAGTAGCTGTTGGCAGGGTTTCTAGAGAAGTATATGTTTTTATAGATTTATGTGTCTTTCTTGTGTGTATTTTTAACTTGACTTTCTGAACAAATAACCGCACAAGAGTTCCTATGTGTGCAAGCACAAATGGCAAATAAAGTTCTTGAATCTTGAATCTTGTTTATGTCTTATCATGAGCCTTATCCTTTAATATATAACAATAAACAGTCAGTGTCTTAAAAAAATACTACTACTTAATACTGTCTTTTTGCCCCAAAATTACTATTGATTATTTAAAAGGAGTTATTTTGTACTGTTGCGGAAGAGTGTGTAACCACTAACACTGTATTTAGAATTACTTAAGGCAGATTATCATTGAATTGAAGTTATAGAATCTCTAACGATAATAACAATAATAATAACTGGCCTGGAAGGAAACATAATATTTTATCTCATAATTATGACTTTTTATCTCATAATTTCGACTTACTTTGAGGATATTTTTATTATCAAGGCTAAGTTTTATCTGTCTTTTTTTTTTTTCCTGACGGAAATGGGCTTCCATACAATTTATATGAAAATGCTAAATAAATGAATAAATAAATAAAACTAAATAGCTGGGCACTGTAGTTTTAGGAAATGTTACTTAAACAGGATCAAATTTCAAACATTTCTTGGGAACTATCTACAGCTGTGGATGAATACACATTTTATATGCTAATAATTCTACACAGCAGCAAGACAGTGTATGTGGTATTAACTCAAAATAAACTAGAGTTCCCACATTCATCATAATAAAGGAACATGCGACCCTGACACTTATCGGCATGTTTTTAATACTTTTTAAACAATAATGGAGGTCTGTGACACAGAGGAATGAATTAAATCAAGCTTTGGCTACAAAGACAACACTTGTTAGTGGGAACAAGTTATTGTTTTTATTTCATTCATGGGATTTGCTGAGAATAAGAAATATCGGTCCAATTGTTTACAGTGGGACAAGAAAAAAGCTGGTCTGTGCATGCTCCAAATTTCCTCAGAAATACTGAGGGAGTGTGGAGAAGCATGAGATCAGGAATAAAAATGTTCAACTGGAGACTGAGAGGGGATGAAGAGAGGCACAGCTCCTGCTCTATTCTCCATTTGGTGCACAGTATCTTTAAAGAATAATGGAAGATTACTGTCCACATTATTATTGTGCTTCTCTTGTGTTGAGGGGGAACATTTCTGACTTGGACCTCTAAGTGTGACAAAAAAAAAGCAAAGGTGAGGAGTGTGAGGTAAATATTGTGTTTAATAAACAAACATCAGTCAGGGAACTGACATTAGTCTGGGGATGGAGAAGAGGGGGAATATAAAGCACAATGCACATGTGTAGAGGTGGGGGGACATATTTATCTGTTACACAAGGTGCCCCTGTACAGTAGGAGCAGGAAGTTCTATATAACATACAGATCAGGATCCAAGTCTACGGTACAAAAACTTAGCAGCAACATGTTAACGTCGGAGACCAAGGGGCTAACAAAGTAGTTTCATTTAGAAAAAGTCACAGTATTCTTTAAGCATAAATTTGTTAAAAAGGTAAAAACAGTTCTAAGCATCCTCTAGGGTCAATGCTACTCACAAGATTTGTGTGTGAAATACATAGGTAGGGAAATTATCTATACATTTATACTCTAATATAAAGACCTTCTGGTAATGGCACAGTACAAACTCTGAGGAAACGCGACAAAAATATACAATGTCTTCACGTCACATTTGCAGATTAAAATGTAACTAAGGTCTCTGGCAAGCACAATAGTTTCAGTGATCAAAAAAACAACTTCTCTTCAACCAAAATAAAGGACACCATTTTGTTAGTTCAGCTATCTTGACAGATTATGTCTTTTTAATACAAAAATAAGGACAAATATAAATTAATATATATTAAAAGAATCAGATTGATACATAGGGGATCTACTGAATAAGTACAGGTATTTATGATACAATAAATACTTGTCATTCATGACTGGGGGTAGATAAACAGAGAGTAGTGTATTTAACCTGGCAGGTAATATTTATAACTTCTACAAGTGAGAGCATTTGTATGTGTGTGTGTGTGTTTGTGTTGTTCAGTAGCTGTAAAAAATACCACAAGTTTGAGCACAGCTGTGTGTAGGATCATGCACACAGTCTCAGAGGGTTCAGGAGGCCTGTTAAGGGAGACCTCAGACTATAGTGGTGGTTTCTTGTGTTGTACGGGGTTATCACTGCCCTCCGTTTCCCATGCCTTAATGCAGCTCCTCCGAGTGGTGAGTCTGTGGTACTACCAGTTAAGGTTACTCCTAAAACACACAACTCACAGACAGGAAGCAGGAAGTCTACAGGAGGCGGTCAGCCATCAGTGACCGACCGGTCAGTCCTCCAGGGAAGAGACAGTGTGGCACACCATTGGAGTCATCATGACCAACAAAAAGAAGTAGATGTAAGGAAAAAGTCAACTCTTGTGTTTTTTTTTTTTTTTTTTGTCTTTCTCTCCACTTCATAATAAAAAATAAGTCTGTTTTTGTACTTTACAATACAATTCAACATCCCCACCGAGGAAGCATCAATCATCAGTCCAGCACTGACAAGAAAAGAAACTTTTTTAGTTGTTTCTCTTGTTTTTTTTTTTTTTTTGCCTTTTTTTAAGGGTTTTTAAAAAACAGGGTTGGTGGGGTGGGACTGTGGGGGGTGAGGGGGTTTCTCAAGAGGATTTGGGACCTTGGATAAGGGGGGCGGTGATCAAGTAAGGCGGGCAGGAACATAAAACATATCTGGAGGGGAGGAAATCTGCCAAGGATGTTGTCTCTTTTTTCTTTTTTTTTTATGAGGAACACTTTGTACAGCCGCACTTGACCACTTTCTCCACTTCCTGGACAAAAGAAGAGCCATCAGTGCACTGGAAGGTGTATTTCCTGCGCTTGCTGCGGAGAGGGGTGCAGCAGGTGTCCTGTCCTTCTGCTCCCCCCGGGCAGCTGCCCCGACACTCTAGACGGGAGACCTTCTCCTGGGTTTGGCACGCCGCGTAGCCTTGCTGTCTCTGGTAGACATCTCGGACCCGTTCCCCTCGGCAGGCCACCTCTGCAGGAATGAGGAGGGAACAGAAAGGTCACAAGTGATCCACGCTTTTAATTGTTTTAAGGCACAATGGCAAAAGTGATGAGTCTTAATGGTGAAAACAACTAAACAGTAGCTCAAAATATAAGTGGACAGTAAAATGAGACAAAGTGACTTGAGAGATGATACACTGCAGAACTAAATACAGAATAAATCTGCCCATGAGGTACAACTTCATGTTTTTTATCTATTATTGATATATGGCATATATTTTATATTTGATCATGCAATACACTTTTTAGACTTGTTTCTTGTCACCTTTTGTTAAAAAATAGATTGTGTGTCTTAAGAAAAATCCAAATTAAAATAGTCAAATGCCAATTGAGCCAACATTGTCTCTCTTGAATAAGAAAAACTTTATTATGTTATATTATTTTTCTCCTCTTGAATTTCCATATTGCTTGAAAGATGAAAAATATAAAGCAAACAACTTAAGCTACATGTTGTATGAGTTGAAAACAAGGTGAAGCAGGGGCAGTGGGTAGATGCATAATGGGCTGTACTGGAGATGAAACACCATGAGATGAACAAGGGAAAATAGGTGGACAGTGAGATGTGACTGGACAGTCTCACCTGAGTAACCCCTCGCGAGGGATTAAGAGGAAGCTCAGGAGATGCTGAGTTGAAAAAGCAACGGGTTAGAAGCGTTAATGCAGAGACACTTAACACTGTTAGAGACACACTGCTGAGAGACTATAGATGAGAGGTAACTAGTAAGAGAGAGTAAAGTAGAAGTTTAGAAGAGGGTCTGTTAAAAGAAACATGCTTTAGATTCAAAAGCTTGAACACCATCACATATTATTAATGTGAGAAGAATAGGTCTATGTTTTGCTCACCTCTGTCGCACGCCTCTCCTGTATATCCGCTGTTACACTCGCAGTATGCCTTGCCCAGGCCTGACACTCTACATTTGCCATGTTTACAACGAGACAGACTGCAGGGGTTGGCTGCATCCTGATCCTGCTCATCACAGAGTACGCCAGCAAAACCAGGCTGGCAGCGACAAGAGTAGGAGTAGGAATTGATTGGAAGGCAGGTGCCATGGATACACCTGAGGATGGAGGATCGAGAGACGGGAAAGATAAAGATGTGGACAGATACACAAATCTTCCAGCCAAGTCTCTCCTTGGATCCAAACTTATATCTTATAAGCCCCCTCACTGTGGTTTTAAACCTGTACACAACGTGGCACAGAAAACACTCACTTGTTGCCGTCACAGGGGTTGTTGACTTGCTGGTCACACAGTGTCCCCGTCCAGCCTGGGTGGCAGGTGCAGGTGAAGCCACGATGACCTGTTGGGTGACAGTCACCCTGGACGCAGGCGCCTCTCTGGCAGGGCTGGCAGCCAGGCTCCACCCCGTGGCCCAGCCACTGTCTGGTGGTGCTCTGTGTAGTCCCAGAGCCTGGACTCCCTGGCCCCAGCCCGGCTCCCAGGTCCTGGAGCTTCCCGTTGATGTACAGGTTACGGAGGCAGCCATGGAAGCTGGTGCCGTTGCGTCCGCCTGAGCTATGCTGAAGAGACGAGAGACCCCCGGAAGCCGAGGCACGTTCTGGCATACCTGGAGGAGGAAAGGAGTGATTGAACATGATTGAACATCATGCAGAGGTACATAGTATATATCTGCAGTGCACAAACGTTTGTGCAAGCTTGCAAAGTGCGTCTCACAAAGAAACAATACAAAGTGATAAAAGGTCACATAAGAGGATTAAAAGACAACGGATTTAATAATAAAAACTAGTTATTTGAATCTAGTAAATGATAACTGTTGGGATGCCTCATTCGTCAGACAGGATGTTTTACAGATGAAGACCACTGACAGCATTTAGTCCTGGCTAAAACTAAAATGTCCATGTCAAAGGATCGGACATGACACAAGATAAAAATAGTCAGGTTATAGTCATAGTCAGTCATGCTCCACTGACAGATTTGAAGAACAAACAGCAGACCAGAGCAGCACACATGCTGCAGTGTTTTGAATAATCTGTAGTTTATCTTTGTCTTGGGTACTCCACTAAAGAAAGCAGTAATCAAGCTGGCCAGTGATTAAAGGGTGCATCAGTTTCTTTCCAAATGCACATCAAGGTAACTTGTGATTTGAGGTTTTGTTCCAGAGATTTTAAGTTAGTCTATCTCTGCCTTTTCTCTAATGGAAAACAACCTTTTTTTCTAAATATTATTGTTTAAATATTAAATATTAGGATATTATGTGATGATCAATGCACTGAACCAGTAAATATTTAAAAAATGCAACAGCACAGGAAGACAAATTATTCAGGTCCTCCTTGTTTCCCAAAGCAAACACAGTTTTTCTTTTTTTTAAAGCTTTAAGGAATAAGACAGATTTTCCTGATGAATACATAAATCTATGCAGTTATCCTTTTTGACCTACAGTGGAACAATTAAGTATCTATCATGTATTTGTATTTAATCATTCACACACACACACACACACACACACACACTGCACTTGGGTCCTTACCTCCCAGGTAAAGTGGAGAATCTATGTTGAGTGTGGACTGTTTGCTGATGGAGTTGATGGATTTGGGCGGCCCGCCGTCGATGGACAGAGAAAGAGTCTGGTCTGATGCAACCAACTCCACAGCATGGAAGCTGCCATCATTTACTGTCTCCACACTGAGCGAGGGAGAGAGAGAGAGAGTGTGGAGAGATTCAGTCTAAACATGTATATCGTCCATCATGTGAATGTCACTGAGCTGTGCTGTTGGACATTTCTGCTTGTATGTGCATGTACCTGTATATAGCAGAAGGAGGGTAAGATCCGGTATCGTAGCTGACTCTGAGGCGTCCCCTGTACAGCTCCATGGCAATGTGATCATTGTCCCCTTTATACAACAACACGCCACTGTCCTCATCTGTAGCAATCTGAAAACACAGTAGCATGTTAGTGTTAAAGACCTTTGGCCACTTGGGGGCACAACACTGGCATATTATCACCTATTAGGTTTAGCTGTAACCATAAACCTCTCACCTGTAGGCTGATGTTGGTCTCCGGTGAGAGGAGACTGGAGGGAAGTTGCAGGTAGGACTCGCGGTTGACAAAGTTGACACTGACGAGTGTCTCGCACCGCTCGCCCTCGTAGCCGTGAAGACATTGGCAGCGGGGGTCTGTTCCCATGATAACGCACTGCGCCCCGTTGAGGCACTCGTGGTTGTCGCAGGGGCTGGTGCGGGGAAGGACCATCGGGGGAGAGAACTCACAGAATAGCCCGCTGCAACACAAACACACATGCACACATTCAATACAGAAAATATGCCTGAAGTTGTGTTTTTTTCTAAGTATGAGTTGCAGCTTAGTAACGTACTGTCAGGAACTGTCAGTACTCCTTATCAGAGTTAAGAGTGTTCTTAACAATCTTTTTCCCATTAATTACAGTGTGCTACAGAATGTTTTTCTTTGTTCTTCCAGAGACTTTAAGGTCCAGTGTGTAACATTCAGCAGGATCTATTGGCATAAATAGAATATAATATTCATAGGTGTGTTTGAATATTGCATGCTTGGAAGGCGAGTGGTATTCAGTTGGTTGCAATATGCCACTGAATCTTACACACTGGTCCTTTAAAACTTGGGGTACATCTGTGTCTTTATTTGACACTTGGCACCACCGTTTGGAAATCAAACCCTACACACACCAACATGTATTTAAAATAGTTCCTCCTCCCAAAATTCATTGCCACACAATAGATAGCAGTAACAGATAATGAACACAAGGGGGAGCCCCCTCTACACCACACACTGCTAATGAATTCACATTTAGCACAGTGTAATGGGGAGAAAGTAATGTTTTCTTTGGCAAAAACAGAAAAACTCTGGAAAAAGTTTGGAAAAAGTCATCTGTTGGACATATTTAAAAAATGTGGCAGATAAAGTTAGCTATGCAACAAACTTGACCTGTACTGCACAATACTATTACAGCCACTGTAGGTCAAGAGAATCAAACTTTGATCTGATCCGTATGTGTGAGTTCCTGCTGGGATGACCTTACCTGTATCCCTCTGGACAGACGCAGGTGTATCCGTTGACGGCATCAATGCACTGACCTCCGTTCTGACACTTGTTTTCTTCACAGTCGTCATAGTCCAGCTCACAGTGGTCACCTACGTAGCCTGGAGTGCACTCACACCTAAAAAGTACACACGTGAAAACACATACAGAGATGAGACTGAATGACTACTTGTTACTTGTTGATAATGAACATACATCGTCTGCCTGTGGTGTAATTGCTTATTTTTAAGACATTTTAACAATAGCAGTTCCCCCTTGACCCAGACAATCTGGAGGGTGTACAAACACATGGTAATAAAACACACACACACACACACACACACACACACACACACACACACACACACACAAACTCTGATCTTAACCAGCTGCCAGAATACAGAAAGAAAAGTAGGATCAAGATAAAGAAAGCCACGATTTTATGGTTTCAAGGTGCCTGATGAAGAGCACTGGCTTCCAGACATCATATGTGTTAATAACTTTATACAGCTTAGCAACAGTACACGCACACAAACAAACAAACACACACACACACACACACACACACACACACACACACACAAACACACGACGTACAGGCTCACTGCGCTGACCCCAGTGCACATCACAAGGGAGTAAAACTAAAGCAAGGTTCAGATAAAATCTGGACAGGAAATCTTATGAGGGAGCCCAGATCACACTCCCAACACCTCCCTCTCTCTCGCACACACAGACACACAGACACACACACACACACACACACACACACACACACACACACACACACACACACACACAAACACACACACACAGTGCAGGGAAAAACCAGCAACTCATTCATTTCAGCGTGAGAAATGTTTGTACTCAAACCCTGCGGGAATGAAACCAGAAATCACTGCTAACTTCAACTGCTCTGCATACGTGTGTGCGTGTATGAATGTGTGTGTGTGTGTGTGTGTGTGTGCATATGTGTGTGTGTTTATTCCACTCACTTGTATCCCTGAGGGGTCAAAATGCACTTTGAGTCGTGCTGACACGGGTTCAGCTCTGGAGCGCAGAAATCCAGTTTCTCTTCACATAGCTCCCCTAGAGACACACACGCACACACAGACACACAGACACACACACACACACACACACACACACACACACACACACACACACACACACACACACAACACAGACACACATGCAAATCATCTCAACACATTTTCAAAACTTTGCATACCATTGACAAAAATAATAAATAAATAAAGTGCAATTATAATATAAAACACCTAGATATTTTCCAACTCTAACTCACAGTGTGCATCTTAGTATGATTGAGCATCTCAATACTGCAGCACTGCAGTGTGTGTCTGTGTTGTATGGGCTGATGATTGATGACTCTCTTGTGGCCAGGACCAACACAGTGGTCTGATAAATGATCTCATCTCTGCCAATGTCATATTCCTGATGATATTCCTGTGCATATCCCGACGTTCCTGAAACTCTGAACTCCAAACGAGTCATTGATGAGGCATCGGGGAATAAACCAATACTCCTGACAGCACAAACTCCACTGGGGGAATAATTACATGGTAACTGGGTTACCTCACTTATGTAGAAGCATTCATATTAGCTTAATAAATTCTTATTTGGAAATGGAAATCCTTACATACTTTATAACTGAACAGTGGGGGTCTTTTCTTTTTCACACACTGTTAGTTTTAGAGATGTTGATTGCATGTGTAAATGGCTTTAATAAAGAGGCACCAGCTGCCATTAAGATAACTGGTGAGTTGTATCTAAAAGACTGTGACTGCTTTGTTTGTTTGACATGTTAAACTTTATGTAAATGAAGAGACAAGCTCAGCAAAGCTGGTCACAAAAAAGTTAGCTTTCAGAACAGTTATGGAAGTGTTAGACTTTAAGTTAGATATTTAGGGTTCAGCAGACTACACATCATCTCAACGTTTATTCCTTGTTGTGGGACATAAAAATGACATTTACTTCAAACATAATATAGTATAGTATATAGTATAGTCTGTGTAGCCAAAGCCTGATGTAGCTTATTTCTTTGTGCCATAAACACCAAAACAAACCTAAGCACTGCAGTTTATTAGAAGTTGATCCCACCTACTGTCCTCCTGCCAAAGATACTAGCTAACGCACTACATCTGTGGCAAAAAATATTCCCCAAAAAAAGCACAAGCTACTTGTGTGAGAAAAGTAGGATAAAAACTACAGTGCCCAGCTGTTTAAGGACATTACGAAGCCTTTTTAGAAATGAAAGCGTCTATTTGTCACCTGTTTTTTTACATCTGTTTGAGCGCCACACTACACACTGTGTAGTGGAATTCGGTAAATTTTAAGAGACGAGTGTTAGGTTTGGTCTTCTAATGGGAATATTTGACAGTAACAAATATACAGAATATCACTGACCTTGTCTTTTATTGTCAAAATGTTTACCTGGAACATTTTTACACTGTTTAATTTGACTCAAGTATGGCAACAACATATATGCATAAAGCAGCAAGCAGAATAACCCCAGATATCTGACAGGACGAATCACATACTCAGTGGTCTGTTTGAACATCAAGGACATGCACTGCTAACATGGAGCATGACTGCATACAATATGTTAAATCTGTTGTGCTGAATATCCGATTTCTTGGGAGCATGGAGAAAGCGCAGGAAATGAGGGAAGGAAGGGAAGGAAGGAGAGAGGGACAGGAGGGACAGAGAGAAGAACAGACTAACCTCTCTCCACCTCATTGGTAGCAGCTGCAACCACAAAAAAACAGACGACAGATGATAGAAAGCAGAGCGAGACAGGAAAAAAAGACACAGCGAGACATATAAAGACACAGAGAGAGAACACCGCCACAAAGGTTAGCAGTCAGAGATGATTAGCACAGTACAAAAGCAGACACACAAGTAGCAACAGACCAGTGTTAGTTAGAACTAAATATGATTTGTCTGCAGCCTAATAAGTCCCATTTATTTTTCCCATAGATGATGTTACATGGCTCACAGTTGGATCGGGTTTAAACTCAACGGTACAAAAGATGAACGACTGTCAGAAAATATCTGGTTCTTTGATAAAAAGTCAAAAGCTTGTGAACCTAAAAACCTCAATGTGGATGTTAACTACGACTCTTAAAGTGCATTCAATCATCAAGCTTAAAATTATTTGGTGTTTGCCGCTTGCAGAGAGAGAGAAAGCTGCTGATTGAGGTGAAAAACACAATCTGCAGCTTAAATCAATTCAATTTACATTTCTGGTTTAATTTTGGATGAATTCAGCGACTATGGTGTCATCTTTTGTTCTCATATAAATGAAGCTTTTTGAATTTGCTGTTGCTCTGATTGACCTCTGACTGACTTCTTACCTATAGCAACAGAGGCTCATGGGAAGTTTTTTAAAGCACACCATAAACCTATAGGCTGGTTACATTATCCTGGAGAGGCCTGTGTTTTTGTGTTAGGCAATATTGGCGACATGGGTAAAGGTTCAAAATCTGAACTGGGAATACAATGTTACCTGTGTACTCTGGTGAGCACATGCACGTGTAGTTGTTGATTCCATCAACGCAGGTGGAGTTGTTCTCACAGTCGTTATCTTCACAGTCATCAATGTTGATCTCACATCCGTCGCCTTCAAAGCCCTCTGGACACACACACCTGAGATATCACACGGACAGATACACACACCCATGAGCAGGTATCAAAGGATAAACACATGTAGGGCCACATACAGAATGTTGTCAACAGAAATCTCTTCGATCTCTGAATGACAAACACTCCCGCACACACACACACACACACACTATCCATGCGTGCAGCTCATAACAGCAGTGTCAGCTCTATCTACATATCCCCAGTAGAGAGTCATTATTCTGTTAACGTGAGCGTGCCTCAACTCTGTAACTACTACTCAGGTTTATTACTGGGTACACACACACACACACACACACACACACACACACACAGTGTGGTATATTATGGGTCTAATAAAGAGCTCTTATGCGGCACACACTCGGGTGGATTAATATCTCATTATATAGTCAACGACAGCTCTTCACAATGAATATTCCACTCCCCTATGCCGGAGAAGGAAAAGAAAGCATGCAAAGATGGAAATACAGACCCATAGAGGAAGACTGATATGAAAAAGTAGCAGAAGAGACAGAGAGCACAAGGGAAGAGACTGAGGGAGATAAACAGGAGGAGCTGAGCAGGAGGGCAGGTCTAATTGTCTGTGTGGGAGGTTAAAGTCTGCTCGGGGCGTGCAGGCAGGCGTTAGCTCCCCTCCTGTTAATACTAAACAGCCTAATGAAGAGAAGGCGATTCTCACAGCAGGGCTGTCCAGCTTAGAGACAAACTGAAGACACAACTGGTCCCCCGAGCCCTTTACCTCCTGCGCTCAATCCCACCTGTCATTAGTAGTGCAGCAATATCACTGATGGAGTTATCTCCTGAGGGTCCACAGATCATATGCTCTGTCCACTAATGTGTTTTCAATTCTCTGGTTTTTACTGGTATCTAGTAACTGACATCTGGTGTTCACCACATCTCACCAACAGGCTCTGTAGGTGTGTCCTGAGATGTTTCTATATGTTTAGTTTGAGGTAAACACAAAGGAATCTTCCAGTTGTTTTCTGGCCTGGAACAAAGGTGAGCATGAATGATATTTCTTTCAATCTTGCAGAGCTACTTTAAAATATCCTTATCGTATAGAACTTGTGCACATACAGGAGTTTTGCAATGCAACGGACAAAACAGACATTTGAGGTGCTTTTACTTTAGCTGTCACTTCCGCATAAGTGGTTTCTTTTAAAGTGACCAGTGTGTAGCATCACACTTCCATTATGGTGGGGGACTCACAAGAGACAAAGTGAGAGAGACCCAGTTTGTAATTCAGTCATTCTGTTGTAAATTTGAAGTCTCAAGCACAGTCTCAGATAACCTTAATGACATAATCAGGGTTATTTTTTCCAGACTTTAGAAAGCTCCCTGCAGAGCCACAGGAGACAAATGAACTCATATATCCAGGATCCAACACTAACCAGATTGTAAAAACTGAAAATATTTTTTAATAGTCTCTCACCAAAAGTTGCTCCCGTCTCCTTCCTTCAGGTGGCAAGTGCCGCCATTGTGACACGGGTTACTGATACAGGCATGAATGGGCTCCTCACAGTTCTGCCCCTAGATGCAGACACAAACACACACATACATTTAGTGCTTTCAAAGAACAACAGCTCCTTATGATTACCTATTTTGTTTGTGTATGGGTGTGTGTGTGTGTGTGTGTGTGTGTGTGTGTGTGTGTGTGTCTGTGTGTGTACCTTAAATCCATAGGGGCAGGTGCAGCGGTAATAGTGCACTGGGTCATTGGAGCAGGTGCCATCGTTCTTGCAGGGGTTGGACAGGCAGGGCTCACACTTAGCCTGGATACTCATGTCTACTGGACCTGGGTGACGCAAAGACACACACACACATACAAAAAAATCTTTATATAATTCTCTACACGTAGGGGAGGAAGACGAGTTAGAATATATGTTGACAGACAGACAGCTGTACATGATCAGGGTCCTGCATAAAGTTTGCATCTTCTTGTGTTTTTGAAATATTGTCAGTTTGTGAGAAAATGCTAATTTGGTTAATAAATTGTCAATATCAGTAATGGAAAAGGGAAAAAAAGCAACATTATCTGTACTATAATATAAGGTAAGCACTTGAAAACTTGTATACGAGATGATTATAAAAAGTTGTATGGATGTCATGAGCAAGAGTTGCAGGTATGTTACTGGCTTATAAGTGAGATTTAGTTTGCTGGGCCATGACATGTACAGAGGACATCTTTCAAAATGAAATGACAAAAACATCAATTTCTAACAGTCGGGACAAACAATGCTGGTCAGAACATGAGGGCTGAAAGGGAAAAAGAGTGGTTCAGTCTGGTCAGGGCTCAAAGGACGAGGAAAACCGGGTTGGGGTTGTCTCGGGGAAGGAGAGACTGAGGAAGAAGTACTGGGATATGATTGGCTACTTTACCTGGCACCAGAAAACCACAAGGCCCCGGGACTTCTACAGTGCGTCAGTTAGATTAGGTTAAAAATAGGTTTCAGTCATGTATTCATAGTTAATGTGATATAATAAGGTTTATGGTCAACAGTCAGCAACATTTTGCAGTATGATGAGTTACAGCCACAATCATGTTCACAAGCAAATTTGTGGATTTTCGAATTACTATTTAAATATTAACATTTTGTTGCTGTCCTGTGAAAACCATGTATCTCTTTATTTGATTATTTTTAGGTTTTCAGATAAACTAAATGCTTTTTGTGGTGGCAGATGATTTTCTTATTGCTTAAACTTACTGAATTATCGAAAAATAAATGTTAAAAGAAGGCTGTTTTTGGACATACATGGCTTTCATTGGACAGCAACAATCTGTAAATGGCAACTTGTGGTCTCCTCTAGGAGTCCTCATCAAATGTGTGTTATTGGATGGAAAGTGTGTGTGTGTGTGTGTCTTTGTGTGTGTGTGTGTGTGTGTGTGTGTGTGTGTGTGTGTGTGTGTGTGTGTGTGTGTGTGTGCATGCTTTTGTTTTTGGACACCTAATAAAGTGCATTTATTGTAGTGCTGCACAATTAATTGAAATATTATCAAATCACAATATGGCCAAGTGCAATAAATGAATTGCAGAATTGCAGAAGCTATTCTCTGATAAGGTAAAATGTGTGACAAAACAAGCTTTATAATGAAGTACTGTACTGTTGCAGAGATGCCCTTGCCTACAAATATTATTCTCCAGATGTAAGAAAACATTTTTCTTTGGTACAACAAATTTTTTCAGTGAAAATGAAAATTGTATTTCCACTAAGCATGAATCATACTGCCATTGTAATATCTGTCAAAATACTCGCTATATAATTTATTTTTGCCATATCATGCCCTAATTTATATAACATACAAGTGTATTTGTATATATCTACTGTCCATGTGCTGGCATGTGCATGTATTCTTGTGGTAAAGTATTGCATTTGTGTGGCATTGTATGTTTACCTGTGCAGGTAAACTTCTTGGAAGGCGTGGTGAGCAGTAGTTTGTCGGTCATGTCTCCAGGCCCAGCACAGCGGGCAATGCCAGGCTCCTTGTAGCCGCTCTTCACCCAGTCTGACAGCCACTGCATGTGGCAGTCACAGTACAAAGGGTTGGCACCCAGAGCCCTGCCAGCCACAGAGAGAGAGAGGAAAGTGTTCAGTCATGATAACAGGGCACACAGGAAAAGTCAGCACTTCAACCTCAGAGCCTTTGTTTCAGATGCAATGTGCTGGAATACAGAGCCAAAACAATGTGTCACTGTCTAAATACTTACAGACTGACTTCTACATCACTGTCAGATTAAGTGAGATGAGTCTACCTCATGCTGGCAGCAGTGTTGACAGTACTATTTCTCAAACTTCAAAAACACTTCCCATAAACTGTATTACTTTTCATCAAAAAGAGTAAGTAAGTAAAACATTTTATTTTAAAATTATTTTGCTTATGTTCTTCTAAAGTCTAATGTGAGTTTTTTTAAGGTAACTAATGGTTCAATGCATTAATTAAGTCAGAGCACTGAGGTCGTGCTTGCATTAGCTTATTGGCATCATCTGCCTTATTCGTGCTCCACAATGGCTCATTCATCAGCTACTTGGCTTCCGTCTGACTAGTAACCAATCATATTCATGCAGCTGTACAGAACTGCCTTGTCACTATTACTCTGCTGATATTTTCATGCCAAAACCTTTTACTGCTACAGCTCCCTCCACCACCCAAACCTTTGCCTTATCTGCTAAGTTTTTGGTGTTGTTATACATGTTCTTTCAAATAACAGATCTGACTGGACTGATGTTGCAGTAAATAAGGAAGTTAGAGTCATTTGCAGGCTTGTAATTCTTTCGTGGGTAGAGATAATATTAGACTAGTGGTCTGCAGTGGGATATAACTGGGAAAAGCAGCAGCCCGTCACAAGCGCTCTCCGTGGTGCTGATCCTAGAGAGCACCTTGGCACGGGCACTCCCTCACTGGCATTCCCACCAGCAGCTAACTTAAGTTATTAGTGTCATCTTTCACTTCCATCCATCACTTGTGTGCAACCAGTATAACCTCTGTGCTTTCCCTACAGAGCGCTTAGTTATGCTTCTTTAGTGTATGAAGTAAATTATTCAGTTCTTAGTTACCTCAGTTTATTATTTTTGACAGTAGTCTCCTGTGTTATTTGCTGCTTGTCTGACTATTGATTTAAGGCGTCAAGACATGCTGAATTTCTGCACTGTTCTGGGTCTCAGCACGGGAGTCCCCATTATTTAAAGAAGAGAGAGTATTCAAAGAGAGTAAATACAAATCTAGTTTTGCTGCTACAAAGAGTGGATTATTGCTCAGAGGAGGAAGGTACTGTAGAATCCCGCAACATATACAACCCTTTAATTTGAATAGTAGATATATGGATCTATTGCCAATACTATAGACAGAACAGGCCAATGTAGGATACACATGTGAACTCTTAACAGAGGGGAACAGGAGAAAGGAGGAAGATGGGTTTGTTGCTCAGTTACTTTCAGCAGCCTGATACATTCATGGACAAGCCTCGTCTAACAGACATTTTCCTTTTGGGAATATGTGAAAAAGGCTCCTTTGTCATGATAATATGTTTTCCTTATTTTGCAATTCTACAAGGTAAAAAGGTGGACACTTCAATCCCAGAGAAAGACATGAACAGTGATGTGTGTGTGTGTGTGTGTGTGTGTGTGTTTATATTACTCACAGGTGGGAGAGTGATGACAGGTCTTTGAAGGCTCCCTCTGGTATCAGTGATATGTCGTTACCATGGAGAGACCTAAGAAAGGCAGAGAGAACGAAGAAGAAAGAGAAAAAAGGGGCACAGAAATGTAGAAAAGAGTCTGGATGTTAAAAGTCTGGATCGCTTCTTTAGATTCAGTGTGACTCAAGTCTGTGCAACGTTATCCACCACCTTGCATGTGTTGGGATGGATACTCACAGCAAACGGAGAGACTTGAGTCCATCGAACGCCCTCACTGGGATGCACCGCAGCCGGTTGTAGCTCAGGATTCTTTACACACAGAATAAACATGTTGGCATGGAGACAAATGCAGATTTTTTTCATTTTCAAGATATCTTCAAATGCAGCAAGGCAATTCAGAACACAATCCTGTTTATATCTACATTCCTCTGAGCACAGCAATCAAGCAAACACAAACAAATTCTTCCAGTCATAAACACAAACATACAAAGTCATATACGCCTTACAAGACAAACATCTTGCACCCAAAGAGGGGATTTTTCCTCAGTTTATCAGATTTTTATGTAAATTTTGATCCTTTTCTGGCACAATTTTACTTTATGTTTGGACATTTAAGTCTGTAACTGGGACCAATGTCCAACTTCAACACATAACTTAATTTTTTTATTCTTTATTCTATTTATTATCAGTTGTTTTTTTTGTTTTTTTTAGCAGTGGTTTGTATGAGGTTACAGTTTTAAACTGCTTCAGGCTGCAGTTGCAGTGCCCTTTTTATGAACACGAGAATTCACTGAGAAAGAAAGGTCATACATAGGTTTTCATGAGTCACCTACTGTATGGTGGCCCACATGGGACAGTATTCATGTGTGACTGCAACAAAAGGAACTCCTTATTTAATTTCATTCATCTTCTCATTCACTAACACACACATTTACACACACACACACACACACACACACACACACACACACACACACACACACACACACACACAGACACACACATTGCAAAGGGACTGATGTAAAGCCAGACTCACAGGGTAAGCAGCTCGGACATGTTACTGAGGCTGTGGTTGGACAACGTGCTGATCTGGTTGTTACTCAAATCACTGAAAAGGAAACAATAACAGATACATAAAACACACACGGGCAGCACTGGCAACACATGCACTATGCACACAGACACGCACGCACAGACTATATACAGTACATACTCGTCTATACTCTACTGCGTTTGTGTTGTCACACCCACGTCAGGACCAAAAGAGGTCACATCAAGAGTGATACAAAACAGAGCTCTGCTAGAATACCAGTCGGTTAGTTTTGGTCTTTAAAAGCAGGGAACACAGGCCAAGTCACGATCTGGATTAAAAGTGTGTTGACTGTGCAAAACTCTGGCTTTATGATTTATGAATTAATGTCTGAGTGTAACGTCTGTCTGCTGAGGTCATGTGGGTGAGACTTACATGAGTGTTAAGTGTTTGTAATTGGAGAGCTCCGCAGGAACCTGAGTAAAGTGGTTACCATCCAGATACCTGAAAGACAGACAGACAGACAGACAGAGGAGGTTTTGGAAACAAAAGAAAGAGGTAAAATAGACAAATAATGGAAGATGTAAGGAGGATTGGGAAAAAGAGAGAGAAAATGAGATGGGAGAAAATGAAGTTATTTAACCATGTGGGAAATTCCTCATCTCCAGCAGTGTGAGCAGTCATTACTGCTACAGCCATAATAAACAGTGGAGTTTAATATCCCCACAGGAAACCTAATACAGTATAACCATCCCACCATCTCACCATCTCACACACACACACACACACACACACACACACACACACACACACACACACACACACGCTCTATCCTTCACTGTGTGACAATGTGCTATTAATCCAGTGTATTAATTAAGTCTTTGTTAATATTGGAAACAGCACGTTCACTGCAGGAGAAATAGTGAAATGATAGAAAATACTACCAAGCCTGCTGTCTGATTTTTAATTTAGGGCTATCATTTTCTGATCATCAGGGATTTTGTGTGTGTGTGTGTTGAGATGAGTTTCTGGAATATAATCCTCTGTGAGCCTTCAATATATGTACCTGTGTCTCTAAAAACCTGTGTGCTGATATGTTTTTTTTCCACATTTTCTGACCAAATACAGCTTCAGTAAGTTAAAAGATTTATTCAAATGTACCAAGTTTACTGAGGCTGACAGCTTTGATGCTATAATGACTTTGCACCTGTATACTGGTGCCATCCACACCAACTCTGACCTCCGTTATGACTTCACTGTCCTCTGAACTGTCCCAAGGTACTGACAGGACAGCAGGTGGACAAGCTGTCTTCACCAGGCTGACTAATAAATGCTGAGTCAATTTTAATCCAGTATGTGCAGAAATTCAACAGACAAAAATATTCAGCTCTGCCAACTTGCTAAACTTTTTTTAACACTGTAAATATAGCAAAGAGGTGCAAAAGATTTTTGTGATTTGAACTTCTGCCTCTTTTTTGCCAGAGAAAAAAACCCCAAAACATGGGGGGGACTCGTCTTGATGTGTATCTTTCAGAGTTGATATGGATTGTTACATTTGTTAAATCTGTTAAATGAGATGAACAAGGGATGGACGTTACTCCTAAAGTCTCCAAAAATCCTTCAAAAATGCTGCTAATGTGGATTACCTTTGAATCTATCTGGTACTGCATTATCTACTTACAATAGACAAAAGACAATCATCGCTGTCCATGTATCTCCAAATTTGGTGATATAACCTATTTCAAATTTCTCAGAGTAAATGAGATGACAATGACAAAATTAGGCAGCCATATAAAACCATTAAAGCAGTTAAATGATGTGTTGATCTCTAACTCACAGTTCAGTGGTCTCTTTGGGAAGGCCTTTGGGAAGCGTGGTGAGGCCCTTGTTGCTGCAACGGACCACGGTGTCCAGACAGGAACACTCTGCTGGACACCTAAGCACTGGAGAGCAGCTGTTCTCATCGTTACCTGATGGAGATGATAGATGGATGGAGTGGTGGAAAGAGGAGGAAGGATGATAGGAAAGTGGTGTTGAAAAATAAAGGTTTGTCACAGCTGCAGATGGTGCAGAGCATCAGGTGTAAAGTGTAAATTTCCTCTCTCTCACCATCTTCACAGGCAAAGTCCTGGACAGCTACATCCTGGATGGGGATCTCCTTCAGGAAATAAGGACTCTGACAGCGAGGGTTACCAGTAACGATGCGTTTCCTTCTCAGCCAATCACCGAGCCAAGCCAGGTGACAGTTACAGTTGAAGGGATTGGCCAGAAGGTTGCTGGAGAACAAAAAGAAGAGTTTTTGAGTGTGTGTCTACATTAGCATTTGCATTTACGTGTGTGTCCGAGAGTGTGTGTCCTCACAGTGTGGACAGGGAGTGCAGTGTGTCGAAGGCTCCGGGGTTCATGGAGGTGATTTGGTTGTCGTAGAGTGAAAGGAGACGCACTGAACTCAACCCCACGAAGCTGCTGTTGCTGACGCAGCTGATTCGGTTACTCCTCAGCATGCTGCTCACACACACACACACACACACACACACACACAAACACACAAACACACAAACACACAAACACACACACACACACACACACACACACACACACACACACACACACACACACAGAGACAGACAGAGACAGACAGAGAGTGTAAAGAGTTTTTTTTACATAACAACAAAACAATAAAAACAGACATATTTATTGTAATATAAACCTGTGAATTATGCATGCTCACATGTTTTAATGTGTGTGTGGACATTGTTGCAGTATGTATGCATACTGTTTCAGCCGATACGGTAACCAATAATTACTTATTTCACATGGCTAAGACCAATAACATAATGAATAAAATCACATTTTTCTTTTTTAAAATAATAATAATAACATTTTTTATAATAATAAATTCATAACCTGTAGAAAGGCTGTATTGTATTGACAAAAGATTTGATGATTTAGTATTCCATAGCATTTAGTTTTTACATCAAAAAACTTCACAAACATACTTTGGCTTATAAAGAACATAAAGCCTATCAATCATTTTGGATAAGAATTCAAAATAAATGATTCTTATATGGACTTATTATGGACTGATGTCGGCTATAATTTAATTATTGGGATAAATTATGATAATATAAATTAATCTGCCCTGATAATTACTGTTAATACCTACTTCATATAATAATGTGATTGCATATACATTTGCATTTTAGTGTGTGTGTGCGTGTGTGTGTGTGTACCCACAGTGTGCGGAGGCCACCGAGTCCCTTCAGCATGCGGTGGTGTATGTTCTCCAGTCTGTTGGAGGTCAGAATCAACTCATTGACCCCCGAGGCTCCTTCAAATGTTCCCTCCTCAATGTCAGTGATACGGTTATTACTCAGGTTACTGCAAGGAGGGGAAGGGGGGAGCAAGAAAGGTAAGAAGGAAGTAAGGAAAAGAGTAAAAACAAAAGATGGAGAAACATGAAGAGGACACGAGGTACAGATAGAGCGAGGAGTAGAAGGAGGTAAGGTATATATAGCAGAGAGAAATACACATGGTTCATTTCTGTGTACAATCGTAGTTTTCTCTTTGTGACCTCAGTGTGACTTCTTCATAAGCACATGTGACACTTTGTTCCTATTACGTTTACAACATGTCTGACTCACATCTTCCTTAGCTGAGGCAACTTTTTGAAGATCCCCGTCGCCTCGAGCACAGTGAATTCATTGTTGTTCAGACGCCTAGGAACAGAGAAGAGGTGGTCAGAGACACAGAGAGAGAACAACAGAAGAGACAATGCAAGAGGAGGAGGTGGAGGAGGATGAGATCAAGGCCGAAGCAAGGTTTCCTCTATTCCACACAAGAGGATAAACTTTGCAGTAGACAAATACAGTGTGACTCACAGTTCTGCGGTGTACTGGGGGATGTGATCTGGTATTTTGGTCAGTTTCTGGTTGGAGCAGTCAACTGTGGTGCCCTCGCAACGGCACTTCTCGGGGCAGGCCAAGTCGGCGAAGCAGTCCCCTCCTAGCTTACTGCGGTAATCCTCGGTACCTGGTCACAATCACAAGCAGGACATCAACGAATGCCTTCATCGTGCAAGAGTCGAACCCCAGCGTTTACTGGTACTGGCTCCAACAAAAACACAGCGTGTGGCCAAAGTGAAGGTCGTGATGTTATGGAACAATTTTGAAATTGTGCAGAGGGGCTGAGCTGCTTTTGTTTGGAGTGGGAATTGTCATAATGAACCAAACATTGCTGATTTTTATCGTATGCAACGTTCCCCACTGCATAATTTCAAAATGCTGCATGTGCATCACGGCCTACAAAGAGCTTCAAAGTTCGCAAGACACACAAACTTTCAAGACCAACACATGTATACGGGCGCACACGCATCCACTCAAGAACAAACATATTGGAGTTTTTCAGTCCTGTCATACTACGAAGCAACTGTTAGTGTTAGAAACCACAGCACAAACAAAACAGCATCGAAAATTAGATCTTAGCAGAACAATTCTTACACATACACACAGGCGGTCATCTATCGTACTGTACTCTCTCTCTCTCACACACACACACACACACACACACACACACACACACACACACACACACACACACAGAGGTTGCGTCTTGGCCGTGCTGTAGGGTTTTGCAGGGCCGTTCCATGGTGCTTGACAGAACCATGTTCCACTATAGGAACCTGGCAGCCACATGGTTAGATCAAGCACAAAGGAACAACCTGCTGACTGACTGCTCCTCCGCTGGAACACAGGGGTGGGAAGGACAGAGGGAGAAGAGGAGGAGGAGGAGGAGGAGGAGGAGGAGGAGGAGGAGAAGGAGGAGAGGACTAGGAAACGAGGAGGGGGAGTATGCAAACAAAGTAGGAGGGATACAGGAGAGGGTAAGGAGAGGATGAAGATGAGAAGGAGATGGGAGGGAAGGAAAGGAGCAGAGAGAAGACAGAGGAGAGGAGAGGAGAGGATGAGAAGGAGAAGAGATGAATAGGAGAGGAGTAGGAGAGGGGGGATGAGGAGGAGGGAATGAGAGGAAAGGAGAGCATGAAAAGTAGAGTTTGGGAGGAGGTAAGGCAAAGAAAATGAAGAATTCAAGGAAGAGAGCAGGAAAGATGAGGGTGTAAAAGCAGGAGAAAGACGGGATTGTGTCACTTGGAATGAAGAGAGGAGGGGGCAATAATAAGGAGGAGGAGATCAGACAGGCTGGAAAGTACAGTAAAGAAGAAGCAAGTGAAGTAGGGGGGAGAAGGAGAGACATCTAAAGACATCTAAATTCACAGACATAACACAGGAGAGCAGTTACAGAGGAGTGGGAGGAGAGTTACAGCAGCATTGAAGGCAAGAGAAGCCCTGACTTCTAGGAACACACATACACACATGGACACACACACACACCCACCCACCCACACACACACACCAACCCACCTACTAACACACACACACACACACACACACACACACACACACACACACACACACACACACACAGACAGCATGAAGAGAGAAAATACATTAACCACTGTAATATAATGTAAATCTTATGGAACGTCTTATTGTCGTTGTTTGTAAACAGACAAGAGGAGAGAGGGTCAAACGTCACGGTGGTAGAGGTCAAAGGTCAGAGGCTGGCTCAGGAGACGAGAGGTGAGGGATACGGAGTTGACGCAAGAACCATGTGTGTTTGTGTGTGTGTTACTTACAGCCGACATGGTGTACTCCTGAGTGTGTGAGAGAGGCAGTAGGAGAAAGAAGAAGGGATTTCACTCGTTTATTTGAACAGGAGGGAAAAAGCTGATGAAAAACTGAGAAAAAATGCTGCAATTTTTTCGTGTTCAGTCCCCCAGGCAGTGATTCATTTAAAGGGGTAATGACTCGTGAATAGTGGGAATCGTGCTGGCATAACATGACATTTGGTGGGTGCTTTCATCCAACACACATCCCGGCCTCGTTTGCTTGAAGCACGACTGATTCAAACTGTTTTTTTTTGGGGGGGGGTCGTGAGATGTTATGAGGCACACATACCCACATAAAAGTGCCGGTGCCAATTAGCAATCAATTACTGCAAGTTCTAAACACTCACATGTACATTTATTTAGTTTTGTGTATTCTTGGACATCAATCACTTTCAGCAGGTCCAATCTTCACAAGAAGAAGAAGCGAGAAATGGTTGGAGGGATGAATTCAAGTGCCAAGAATTCAGAATTGTGAGTTTTCGTTCAAACAGAAACATGAAATAGTCTCCAAAATAATACACCGTGAGGGGACATAATGCAAATTAAGGTAGAGGATTTTAGATGTATTGATCTAAGGCGCGATACTCTGTTGTACCACAGAATAAAACATGTTTATTCAACTTTTCAACCGCAAATGTTCTTAAATTATTCAGCTTTGCCCTGTATGTGGTATCTGGGCTTTGAAACCTCTGTCCCCCCGGTGAGTTAATGACTGCAGTGAGCACACATACGTTCACATTCACACACACTTGCTCTCATCCAACACACACCATGCCTCCTCTGTGTGCTGCTGTGGTAATGACCGCCTTTAGCCCTGCTACTGATCTCATATGCATGTCTGATTTACATATTTCCCAGCGCCCCTCTGAGCATGGTAACTGTGTGACCTTTTGATGTTCTGCAGTGGGCGAAACAGACACAGATGCTCGCGGACACACGCTCATACATTAGCTATCATTAGATGTGCTAAGAAGCAAGGAGGACTAGTATTAAATATAGTCTCTGTGATCGCTGTACCAATATACCTTTATTTATACAGAATCTCACATGCAGTGCCCAGCTGACAGCGGCCTGAGCTTGTTAATCCAGTTGTGTTTCTCCTGCTATCATCAAGGTTACAGTTACCATCAAAAAACCAGTGCAAGGACAGGAGTGTGATTATCTGGTGCCTGGTTAGATGTGATGTCAGACCATTAAAATAAAAGGTCTTGGGATTCAAAAGGTGTAAGTCAAGGCAAGTCACACCAAGTGTCAAGAGAGTGTGAGTGTTCAGCATCCACTGTGATAGACCAAACAGTGTCTTAAACACACACACACACACACACACACACACTCACACATGCTCAATGTACAATACCTGGGATGAAATACTGTTCTCTAGCTAATGGAGAAACAGAGACAGAGAGAGTAAAAGTGAAAAACAACAAAAGAACAAAAGGCTGGACTAGAAGAAAGTACTCACTGGCTGTGTGTGTGTGTGTGTGTGTGTCTGTGTCTGTGTGTGTGTGTGTGTGTGTGTGTGTGGTCGAATGAGAGAGAGAGAGAGCTGCCAGAAAATGCTGAAAACAAGGAGTTGAGGTTAGTAAAGAGAGGCTGAGGGAAAATCCCAGCAGGAAGACACAGAATGAGAACACAGGGCAGTGAACAGTCAGTTTGGGTATTATGTGTAAGAGCATGTACACATGTCAGAAACAGAAAGTGTCGATGAGTGTGTGTCTACAGTGCAGCATGTGTTTATACCTGAGCAGCGGAACTTCTTGCTCTTGATTTGTCCAATTCGTTTGTTGGCGAGCCGTCGAGGGCTGGTGCAGCGGGCACCACTTGTCTCGATGGGATTGTCCTGCAGGTAGTCTGCCAGCCACTTCAGATGGCAGTCACAGATAAACGGGTTTTGGGCTAGGTGACTGATACACACACATACACAAACACACACACACACACACACACACACACACACACACACACACACACGGAACATACAGAAACACACAACAAAGCTGTCAGAACAATATATAGTTGTGAACATGTTTCTTGAGTGTTGATATAGCCATAGACACAGAAAATACTTGTTTGTGATTGGAGGGATGGCAGGTGTGTAATAAAATCTCTTCACCTATGCAACTGTTGTTATGTCAGTTTAGACCCATTAAAAAAACTTCCTAGACTATAAAACTGGACGAGTTAGTTTAACTCGAATTATTTGAGGAAACCGATTAAACCATTTTAATTTATTACCTCCAACAATTTAAGCATGTAAAAATATTTGATTTGAGAGCAAGTAACTCAAGTATTTATTGTTGGGAGTGATTGTTATTGTGTAACTTGGGTAAATTAAGTTAATTGTACCAATTTTATTCAGTTAATTGAACTTGAAACTAGTAAATATATTACAATCATATGCAGCATTTCTCCAAACTCATTTAAAATGTGTTATCTGAATAAAGTAAGACAGACTTAAATTCATCTTATTTATACAAATGTTTTAAAGCTTTTGTTTTCTTCCACTAAAGCAAATTATTACATTACATGTCAACAGCCAACATATAATACAAAAAAACTAAACAATTTGCAATTAATCAATTATCAAAAAGAAAATGAGTCAAAGGAACAAACTGGAATTAAATCAGTAATACTTAGAATACTTTTAATCAAATGTAAGTGCACTTAACTCTCACTTCAACAATTTTTTTTTTCAACATTTTTTAGATGGATTTAATTAATTTATGTTAGCTTACTTCCTTTATTAAGATGTGACAGACACATGTAACACTAATGATACTAGAATCAAAAAACCAAAAGAACAATTCAAACCGTTAAAATGTTTTGTAATACTCCTTTTATACTTTTTATTGGGTCCTTTTTACTTATGCATATGTCTATGTACACTTCCATTAAGTAAAAAATAACAAAAACAACGCCTCAAATGTAATTAATCTACACCCAGGGTATATTAAGCTGCAAGTAACCATAGTGACGATGCTTTACATTCTGTTACCAGGCAACTCACAGGTGAAACTAACCATAAATTAACACTATAAACAAAACAAATTATCCACTGTTCATTAAAAGTGTGGATAACAGTTGAAGCACAGCTTGCCATATTATCATGTGCAAAGTGTCATTATAATTAACAGTGTGGGCAAGTTACTTAAAAACTATAATTGGGCTACTTGTTATTTTACTTTTGTTTGAACAACTCCAAATCCTCCACACCCACACATCACATCTTGTGTATTTAGCAAGTGTAAAAAAGAAAGAAAATGAGACATTGTAGTTTAACAAGACGGTAGCCTTACAGTTTTATCCTGCAGCTAGCTTTAGCACTAGGCTCTCCAGAGGTCCCGACCTCACACACACCCTTCACTCTAAACAAAACTAGCTATCCCAGTTGAAACAACTTCAGAGTCCTCTTTTAGTAGAGATTAACCACCACAACTCCCAGTCCTGCACCAATAAACGGCCCCAACAATCCAAGATGCATAAACAATAGATGCTTTTCTATCAATATTTAAGTGTTTTTTCTTTAGACTGAAGTTTTTTTCTACAGTGCTTTTCTGAAAATATAGATTTTTGTTTAACCACAGTTGTTCAGTTATAATGATTACAAACTTAAAGTTTTGTGTGTGTGTGTGTGTGTGTGTGTGTGTGGTTACGTACAGTGTTTGTATGGCCCTTAGCGACGAGAAGGTCCCCTTGGCGATGGTCTGGAGCTTGTTGTCATATAGTGAAAGCAGATTGAGGTTATGGAGGTCCTGAAATGCATCCACACGGAGACATGCTATCTTATTAGCATTCAGTAACCTGAAATAAAGAAAAGACAGAATGAAGTAGGGGGAGAGAGAGAGAGAGAGAGAGAGAGAGAGAGAGAGAGAGAGAGAGAGATGGGAGCTGAAGGATTATCGTGTTATCATTCTTCAATGAGTGTTTCAAATGTTACAGGTCAGTGATGATGGCTTTCAATCATGATGTCTCCACTCTGATGACAATATTTTAGATAAGTACTTTTCAGCAGAATATCAATGAGATGTGGATGTGAGTTCTTAGCTGCAACTATTACTGTGTGTGTGTGTGTGTGTGTGTGTGTGTGTGTGTGTGTGTGTGTGTGTCTACTCACAATAGCTGCAGAGAAAACAATCCCTCAAACAGTCCTTTGGAAATCTCTGTGATCTTGTTCCCGTATAGTACCCTGTGGAGCACAAGTTTATCAATACGACCACACATATTATCCATTAATACTATTAATATTAACACTCATATATTTTAATGAGAGCAAAAAATCTCATTATTCTCACTGTTTCTGATGAGATAAATGGAGTACCTTTTATCAAACATATAATTAATATTTCTTTAGTGTTAAAAAATGCAGCTCCCATTAATCTTTGACAGTGTGCCAGTGAATGCTGAGTTCATGTCAAATTGGAACAGACCTTAATTATAAGCAGTCTGTAGGAAAAATTGTCACAGGTTTGGGGGAATGTCTGACAGCTACAATATTTTCAAATCTGTGGCAAAATGGCTGAGAAAGCCTTGACTGTACATCTAATTAAAATCAGATATCAACACAATGATTGTTGCTAAATATGTATGTTCTCTAAAATATGAAAATTTAGCCTATTTTTATTTTTTATAATTCAAGTCAAATTATGGGTGTAACCATCTTGGAATAATGCCTTAATGTTTTACAGTTCTTCCAGTTCTGCCGACCTTACGTCAATGCAGCATAAAATTAACAGGGTGGGACTTTGGCTCTTTATTGAGAGGAACACAGAAACATTGGGAGAAAAACATTAAGCCCTTGAATGATAACACTTTAATCAAAAACAATACCACCCTCTTTTCTTTTTGTCTTTTTTGGCTTCCAAGTTAAAACACCAATAAAACAACACCAGTAAAAACACAGACTCTGTGACACCTGGCTGTATGTCAACACTAAGGGCATAAAAAACAATTAGCTATGAACACTTTTCATCTAAATGTTACAAAAAAAACCCAAATCTGACTCACAGTGTGAGTAATGCACACTGTTATCAGAAAAAAAGCTTTTTATAAATACATCAGATAACATACACAAACAGGACAAGGCTGAGACTGCCACTGCCTTGCCCAACAAATACCTTTGACGCACACACACACACACACACAAACACGGAGAGTTATCTGTCATCTTTACGCTCCACGCTGAGTTGAGCTGTGTATGTAGGCAGCCTAAAAACATGTGTTTTAGATTGGCTTTTATTTCATTGTGCTGAGTGGCTGTCCCTGAGAGACCTGAGGTTGGGAAACACACGATGCCGGGAGTGGACGCTTCATTTATGTCTCACACGCACATTAGCAAATACTGTTTCGAGCGCCTACACACACACACACACACACACACACACACACACACACACCACACACGTACAGACACACTGACACACGCACGGACAGAATCGATGGCTCATTTACATCCTCTCTAACCAAACCTTGACACACAATGAACACAGAGTACAGCTTAATGTGAAAGCCATACTGTATGTGGTGTGTCAGCATGAATGTGTGTGTCCCATTCTCTCTGTGGTGAATGTGTAATGAGGTGGCAGAAGCCTCCATTCAGCAATTCAGCATTTATGAATTATTGACTTTGGAGAGACGAGACCTTAATATAACTCCTTCATGAAATAACTCTACATTCCTGCTCTCCCTGTTCCTCTCTCCGTCTTTCTTCCCAAAGCTTCACACGCAAAGCCAATGGTTCGACCTGAGATTCAGGCTGAAGAGGAAGCCAGCAGCACCACCGTTATTGTCAAAAGTCCATCTAAAATGCCTTGGTGTGGTATTCTCTGCAAATGTGAGGCCACAAATAAAGGGTAATTCTAGTTTCTTAATTTTCTAAATGTTGCTGTTAGATTTATTATTATGATTTGTTGTTATTCTAATTATAATAATAAGATAAGAAGTCCAACAGAGCAAAAAACACGAGCAGGCAAATGTTTTAAATAAACCCCCAGCTTAGCCATAACTTGTGAAACAGAAAGGAAGAACGAAGAAACAACTTCTTTTTGCTTTTGTTTAAAAATGTTTGAATTAAACCCTTGACATCAGGGATTGGAGTTATACGGGCTCCAATGCACTGGATCTGTTAGTGAATGGAAGTTTTCTTCTTTTTTTCTTCTTTCTTTGATGTAGTTAGCTCATAATATGCTAACTCTCACCCTTGGAAGTAATGCAACTATAGGTTAATAGTTAGCCATGCATGCTTATGTTTGCAGTTTATGATGGAGCAGGCAGACACATTGTTTATTATTATTATATTCAATGATAATATATTAAATTCTATTTATTATTACCACTAAATCCCACTGTAAACATTCATCACAATACACAGACCGACTTCCTGATTCAACTTGCACCTAGCATCATAATCATTTGTCCTTTTCAATTTTGTTTTTTCCTCAAAATAAACTGCTTTAGATACTTCGACTGAACTGTTGGCTTGTCTGACTGCTTGTGATTTCATCCTTCTTGCTCACTTTGATATTATTGTGCTCCCAGGACTCATAAATTAACTTTGTGAGCGTGTTAACATAACAGATAGAAGTTATGGCTACAACTGGAAGAACAAAAAACAAGTTATGATAAACAACAACAGATTTTGGAGTGGTAATACGATTGATATTGCTTGTGAGATTCAAAGGGCTGAACTGTGGTGTTTTGTGTAAACTCTATCTGAAATACAAACATATCACACAGTACTCACAGAGAGTTGAGGGAGCGCAGACCTTGGAAGGCGTCCGAAGCTAACTCCGATATCTGGTTGTTACTCAAGTCTCTGTGAAGAACAGAGCCAAAGAAACAGGAAAGAGTGGCGTAGAACCAGAGACAGAGTTAATAAGGGAGATAGAAACATGATAAGTGAAACAAGGAGGTCAACACAAGCCACAAACAGGACAGAAACATAAAGTTTTTGTAGATGGTTGACAGGGTGCATAATACATCTATCTCTTCATCTACTCACATTCTGCGCAGCTTCTTATAAGGAGAAAAGGCCCCAGCTGGGATCACCTTGATGGCGTTCTGCTCCAGTCGTCTGGAACCAAACATACACACAGACCATTGAAGAGCGACATTAACATTCCCCTATCAGAGAGCTATCTCTGCTGTATCCTTGACTGCTGCTCATTCCCGGGGGCTGTGACTAAAGGGGAACATTTCCAGATAAGGCGCTTTGATGACCGGTGCCAAAGTCTGTCACATCTCTCTGATCTTTTGCCCTCTTTAAAATGTGTACAGTCAGACATACACACAAACACACAAGCAAACACACCCTTAACTATCTGGGCAGTGTTCCATTAAGTGCCAGTCTGACTCTGTGTCAGTCAGGCCCAAACAAATCAAGCCAGGCCAGAAAAGAGAAAGAGAGTGGGAGGGAGCAAACAAAAGAGAAAACAGACCCAAACAACTGTTCTCTAAACATTTCACATGTTCAGTCACTGTGACAAGAAAGGCGGTGGAACATGATTTGCAAACCAACCATTCGATTGTGAAACATTTCCCTAAAATGAGTTTGTTTTTCATTTGCTGTTCTCTTCTGTTCAGCTGTGCTCCACTCTTTTCTTCAGTATGAACATGTTTGACTAATCACACAGGAGCACTGTATTGTATTGTTTTCTGTTTTTAAGTCATTTGGTGCAAGTCCAAGTCAAGTCTCCAGTCGACTGACACTAGTACAAGTCAAGTCTATAATCAGCAGATATGTATAAGCAGGTTTCAAATCTCCAGTCAACTGAGAAAAGCAGGTCATGTCTTGAATAAACCAAGACAAGTACAAGTCAAGTCTTATTAAATCAAGTCTCAAGTCAAGTCTCACAGTCTTGTCAAATCAATCAAGACAAGTCAAGTGAAGTCAGCGGGTTGTCAACTAGACACAGGCTTGGTGCCAAGGTCTTTGAATGCTTACCATTAAATTGGCACAGCTTTTAAACATTTTGCATTCAAAGCTTTGTAAACAGCTTTGGGGCACTAATTCCCTTCAATGGTTAGATGTTGTAATTCAATATTCAAGTTGTGTGGCCATGCAAAGGCTACATAGCACTGTTATTTAGTTTTTTCCAGGGTTTTACCAGACCATAACTTGAGACTTTAATGTTTTTTTTCTCAATTCAAGTCTTTAGAGTCAAGTCTAGTCCACGTCATGTCTCGAGTCTTATATTTTGTCACTTCAAATCTACTGGTTTTAATCCTTCCTCATTTCTTGATGCATCCCTTTAGATAGAGATATGATCTGTCTTGTCCTTCAGATTAATCTTTCAATTCTTCCTCCCTCATCCCTTCATTATTTTCTTAAGCAGGGAAGAGCTGCATGACCAGGCTTTCTCATTTCACAGATGTGTGGTTTTATTCCACTGCACAGGGAGAAAGAGAAGTAGTGAAACAGAAAGGTGGAAAGAGACAAAGAAGGAAAATTGAGAGAAGCAAAGTGAAACAGCAAGAGAAATATCACTGCACCGAGCATGGATGCAGGAGTTTGTGTGTGCATGTATATGCATGCAGAGTACAGCAGGTGTGTGTGTGTGTGTGTGTGTGTGGGTGTGTTTATATATGTGTGCCTTACATCTCAGTAATGGTTTCAGGCAGGTTGGTGGGTATTTCTGTTAGTCCTTTCCCTCTGCAGTCCACGATGTTGTTACTGCAGGTGCAGGACTCTGGGCACTGTAACACACTGCAGGAGGAAGACGATGACGACTGGTGACCTACACAGAGACAGAGGACCAACATTATCCATGGATAATAGTTATGCTTGTTGTAAATCCCAAAGGCGAAGGATATTGAAGCTGACAGAATTCAGTGAAGAAAATCAAAATGTGAAACAGCAGCCAGGCAATAAAGTGTGCCGGTGAGATAGAGATACTGCCCCTAAATGTGATAGTGACCTTCTCCTTCTACAGTATTATTTTCTTTATGCTGTATATAAAGTGCTGTGCAGATAATGTGTTCAGTACATATTTTAGTAAGTGCTTGTGCGTGGGGTTAAAGCCAAGCCATGCAATGGAAGATGAACACTTGCCTTCGTCCCCATCTTGAAAAGCATGAGCAAATACAGTAAGAAAAAGCAAACGAGACAAAGCAAAAGATGGGTTTGCCACTGTAAAACAGCAAGCGGATGTAAGTCACAAAAAATAGACTGAAAAATAGGCAAAGCGAAGGTGTCAACTCAACCTACCTGTGCAGACAAACTCCTTCTTCTGCACCTCAGCCACGTTGTGCCCCCTCAAGTGTGGTGGGGCCATGCATTGCGTGTAAAGACCCAGGCGGGGGCGCTGTCTCAGCCACTCTGACAGCCAGGCCACGTGGCAGTCACACTGCAGGTTGTTGGAGTGCAGGCGACTGGGGGAGGAGAAGAGGAGGAGGAGGAGGGAGAAGAGGGTATGGGGAGTATGTGACGATCACAAGAAGTAGAGGGGGGGTGACAAGTGGTGAGAACAGGTTGGGGAGGAAGGGGGGATAGTAGATTCGAGGACAGGAGCAGGTTGGGCGGAGGAGGGAGGGAGAGGTGCAAGTACAGATCGATCAATCAATTGTACAAACGGGCACGGATGAGAGGAATACTTCCCCCACCGGTCCTAATGTGTACCAAATACTCACAAGGTCCTGAGCTTCGGCATGTGGTTGAAACTGGCCACAGACAGTCTGCTGATGTTGTTGTTATTGAGGGTGCTGAGGAGAGAAAAGAGTAGAAAACACAATGCCATATAGATTCACTGGACTTTTCTGCAGTTCTACACAGACATAGAGTCAGCAAAGTAGGGTGTGGAAGTTGGAATCAGGTCATCAGTGTCATTTTTAACTATGTTGAGATCCAATCCTGACAATTAAACTGTCTTTCAATGAAGTGACGCACTACAAGATTCGGCTGTCATTTACCCCTAAAGAATCTACTTGCTAACTATAGCGCTCTTATCTGCTGTCTCATTTGATTGTAACCACACAGCATTAAAAACAAAATGGCATCATTCCCTCTTCAATTGTTTAGACTCCATGATGCACAGCAAATAGTTGACGTCTTGGCAGAAATTATACTGAAAATAGGTCTTAAAATTAACATTTCAGCAAAAACACTTCATTGTAACTTATGAAATAATAATATAAAAAATATATAAATTTTCTTAACCTAGCATAGGTTGCACACACAAAAATATACATTAAATCCATTCCCTCAAGGAAAATCCCAAATTGAAGGCTCATAACTCACAAATACACTGCAAATTATCCAGAATTTTGATATTGTGTTGTTTTTTTTAAATTAAAAGCTTGCTCCCTATCTGACATATTTATTGACTGTGACATTTTTTTTGCCTGTGCCTCACTGTACGATGATAATGAATATCGGTCATTAATAACATCAACAGGCTTATCAGTCAGGCTGACTTTAGGACGGACAATGGGTCTGTACAGTGGCACTAATGATTAATAAAATCATAGTGAGAAGTCATTCCTGAATATATATGAAACTGTCCCTTTTCAGGAGCCGCACAGGCAATGCAGTCTTTTAAAGGTCAATGAGGATATTAGCTATTCCATGTCCCACTGCTGTTAGTGTTCATCATTCACCAAAGCCCTGCTGTTGTTAGCAGGGTGACTGAATAAACAAGTACTCACAGCACTTCCAGGTCACGTAGCGCTCGGAAAGCTCCATCTTCTATACAGCTGATGTGGTTGTAGTCCAACTGGCTGCACTCACACACAAGAAAGAAAGAATAAAGGAAGCTGTGGTAAGACGTAAAAGTGTCTTACAGTATATCTTCAGGTGAAATTCAAGTCGGATAGACAGCTACAGAAGGAAATGCATCAACTCCCCCTGGCCAACTCTCTCTGAGCTCATTGTTCTTTGTAGATGTATATATCTCTGTATCCATTCCTGTTTCCTGCTCTTTTCTATCTGACGTCTAATTTGTATGCACTGCTCTTTACCTCCCCTCCCTCTTTTCTCAGAATCGCTTTGCTGAAACAATTTAATTAAGACATAAGGACAGTAAATCATGCGCTGTCACCCCTATGCTAATGCACACACACACACACACACACACACACACACACACACACACACACACACACACACACACACACACACACACAAACACACACACACACACGCACACACACACACCTACACACACACACAAACACACACACACACACTGCCCTGTCCTTTTACAATAATTGCAAGGCATTTCAAAAAAATTATGTGATGTGGAAAAAAACCCAGGATACAGCGAAATAGTTGAAAAATCCATATATCTAGAATTACTGCTGGGCAATTACTTTACCTGCAAAATGACCGGCAATTATCTTCAATCATCATAACTATGACTGAGGCAAAACAAAGACAAAAAACAGAAGAAATGCCACATGACGTGACATCCATAGTGCAAACTCACACACACACACACACACACACACACACACACACACACACACACACACACACACACACACACACACACACGCACACACACACGTACGCACACAGCTGCTAATGAGCAGTGGTGCCGGTCAATACAGCAAGCAGGAGGCACATGACATTTAACACAATGAAATATTGATGCACAGGCACATGGGGGTTGCGCACATTTGCAAACACATTGAAAAGCAAGTGACACGTGCACGTGTATACACACACACACACACACACACACACACACACACACGCATGCATGCACACACACACACACACACACACACACACACACACACACACACGCACACACGCATACACACACACAACACACACACACACACACACACACACACACACACACACACACACACACACACACACACACACAACACACTCATATATATACAGAAAGTATTGCCAAAGTGCCACTTACAGGTTCTTAATCTCCACAGCTCCCCTGAAGGCTTTTCTTGGAACCCCCTGAATCTGGTTCTCGCTGAGATCACTGGACAGACAGATGTAGAGAAGAAGGGGAAAAGAGAAATAAGATGGCAGAGAGTTAAGCCAAGCTGTCACAGAGCCACTTGCTTTGCAGCACAAGTACTTGATGTAATCACCAAAATGCAGCAGGGGAACACTGAGCAAAACTGAGTTCCTTGCACACAGAGCACTGCTTTGCCAAATGTAATCAGCTGTCTCTATTCATCTCTCAGTGAAACAAAAAACGCTTCCTCTGACAAGTGTCCACGTATCTACAGCCAGATGCGATTCAATTGTCTGCTTTGAACATCCATCCAACTCAGGTATAGGCATACTTAAACAGCCTGTAGGGGGCAATAGTGACCTCTGCTTCCCTCAGAGCTTTCTGTTCCTCCTCTCATCTCTCCCACACATCTCTCCCTCGCCCCCGCCAACCCCCCCTCCTTCCTCTGCTTTTAAGGAGTGAGTGATGGATGTGTTTATGTGTGTGTGTGTGTGTGTGTGTGTGTGTGTGTGTGTGTGTGTGTGTGTGTGTGTGCGTGTGTGTGCGTGTGTGTGTGTATGAGAGAGAGTGCTGGGGTTTCCAGAGATCTAATTTTCAGCCACTTTAACTAAGCTGCAGCTTGGAATATAGCAAAAAAATAAAGAAAAAGAAACACACAAAATGCACTGCAGTCACATGTGTTCATGTTCATCTTCACTCACACAAGTACATAAATACAGTCAAAAACATGAACAGGTGTCTCACATTAACTAAATACACCGCCTGCAGCCTAATGAAAAACATGCTATCACTGGTCAGTATAGCAACTTCATTTAGTGAAAGACACTCACAGGGGTGCTGAAGAATGTAGCCGCAGTTACATGAAATGAGGTATACAGTAAAGTAAGGCAAAGTAGAGGTATGAGAATGAATTCAGCCGTCTGGAGGATGCACATGTATCACACATTGTGAAATACAGATTCTAAAAATGAATCTGTATCATCTCAACCTCACTGGAAACCCTTTTGATATCTTAATAGTATCTCAGAGTGCTCGACAGTGTGTGTTTTTGTGTGCGTGTGTGTGTGTGTGTTGTCTGCCGCCAAGTTCCAGACAGACTTTCTGACCTTTCACCACTGACCCTCAAGCTCTTGACCTCCACCATGCTAATCGGCTAACAGCTAATTCCCAGCCACATTCTTCACATTCCTGTGGGCGCAATCGTATAATGAGTGCTGCAGGTATCGTCCATCTCCTGTGTTTACCACCTGCTGCTTATATACCTGCATCTGGAGTCTGGATAATTTGTCGCCAAGAATAAAGGAAAATGACAGAGAGGGTGTTTAAAGATAACCGAAAAGAGAACTTTGAGTGGTTGGGTCCTTGTTCTTAAGCATTATCTTCTGTAGCCTTATGTCCAAGTGAAATAAAACTTTTGCAGTCAAAGGTAAAAGTGAACTTCTTTTTCCTTCAAGCCTGTAGGAGGGCGGGTTGGTGTGCCTTCCACATTGACAGCTGGGACCGCAGGGGCACAGAGATGCAATGTAAACAAACTTTTTCCTCCTCTTCCCTTATTAGCAGAGAAACAGATGTTATGTTAGCAGTGGTACTGGAGAAAAGGGGACCTCACCGTTCTGCATCTACACCCACTGATCGTGACACCTGCAAGTAAATGTTTAAGACGTTCAAATGCTGCAGGTGACACGCAAACAAGCTGTCTCCTATAGCAAGCCAATTGTCAAAATGTGTTTCTATGCTTGTGGATAGGAGTGAGATGTTATGGCTAGGAAGTTGCTCTGTTGCTGCAGTTCACTGCACAGTGTCTGTGACTCTTTAGCATCCATGAAGAAGACTGTGATCTGGCTGTCAGTCAGTCTAACTGTCTAATAACAAAACAGTGCTGCTTTCTTTAAAAAAAAATAGATTTTTGGGGGCTTTTTCCCCGTTATGAGACAGGACAGCTTAAGAGATAGACAGGAAAGGGGGGGTGCATTCTAACCCATGGTCACTGCAGCAAGGACTCGTGGTGCATGGGGCACCCAACATTGCTACTTTCAGCAAATACAATTCAATTTAAAATGTATTACAGTTTTGACAAGTGCTCAGAATAAATGTAAAACATGTTCTGGTTCCAGCCGCTCAAATATGAGGATTTGCTGCTTTTCTCTGTTTTACATCAGTTTTATATATTTGCATTTTGGACAGGTGGTCAGACAAAACAAGCAAGCTGAAGACATCAACTTTGGCTTTCGGAAACTATGACGGGCAAAATAAAATACATTCACTGGCTACATGCAGACTAGTTCTCCTTCTCCATCCGGTACATGCACATAATTCAAATGTATTTATGCATGTTACGTCCTCAATATATATATATATATATAAGGCATTGATACCTAATGTAATTTAAGTTTGACTACACATATGCACTCATACATGTGCACCTGTAGCTTCACACACACACACACACACACACACACACACACACACACCTCACATCATGTTTCAGTGCTTTCTGATGCTCAGATCAATTAACATGAACCTGGAATAAGACTTTACAAACAGAGGTGGATAAAAAACCTCTGTTGTTTTACACACAGAACACAAACACACGTGTGGTTCTCCTCATGATGCACGCACACACACACACACACACACACACACACACACACACACACACACACACATGCACATGCACAGCGGCTGGTCTGAATCAAACAGAGTGTATCCTGATACTGTTTTTACAGGACCAGGGGGGTTTGGAAAACAACCATGCTCCTTTAACCGCTGGAACTCAAAAACCAAATAAACTTTCTGAGAGTGCTCCTTAACCCTACACACACACTAACAGACTCACACACTCACACAAACACACACACGCACACACAGCAATTTACAGTCTTCATTCACTTCATCTGCCTGAAATCAGTAAAAACTTGTTAATGTGTCACATGTGAGGAGCTGACAGTTTGACAGTTAGTATGTCAATGTTTTAGGCCTCACACAGACCTCACTGTAAACGACAGCACACGGTCAACTCATCTTTGCCAAAGTGTGTTTACACACACATTTAACATTTTTGCCTGGGAAAGTAAAACTCACTTCTCTGCCACAATTATAGTAATGCAGCTACAGTAAACACCGTAAGATGGTGGCGGTTTTAAGTATATGATTGGTACATGAGAGAGGTGGAGTCTATAGTATGTACACTATGTATGTGTGTTTGACATATACATTTATCTTCTGATGCACTGAGATGATTGAAAATTGATTTTTCACGTCCCTCTGTCCCTGTGATCTACGACAACAAAGAAACAGCACACGCACACTCACACACACACACACACACACACACACACACACACACACACACATACGCATACATAGTACATGCATACACATAGGACTGGCAGTTTGGGTTAGTATGGAGCGCTTAAGGAAGTGCAGGAGGCCACTCTAAACCCTATTCATCACTCAGACCACCAGAGAGAGAGAGAGAGAGAGAGAGAGAGAGAGAGAGAGAGAGAGAGAGAGAGAGAGAGAGAGAGAGAGAGAATAGTGAGTTTTACCCTGACTAGGAAATTGACTTCTTGGGGACTTAGGAGTGGATTTTCTTCCTCAGTTTGGCGCCAAGGCACCTGATTCAATTTCATCTTTAGTTAAATTGTTTGGTAGATGTCCCACCCACCACTTTCCCTCTCCTACTCCCTATATACTTTTCTGGCTTCCTCTCCCGTCGACCTTTCCCTTTCCATCATCTTTTCTCTCTCTCTTCCTTTTCTCTGAAATTTGTCTTGTTTTTGGACTTCCCCAAGGTTTAACCCCTCACCTCTGCCTCTGTGCCTAAACCAGGAGGTTACCTTCATTAAAAGAGGCTCCTGCTGAGCCCAATGTCTGTGTGTGTGTGTGTGTGTGTGTGTGTGTGTGTGTGTGTGTGTGTGTGTGTGTGTGTGTGTGTGTGTGTGTGTGTGTGCATGCATGCGTGTGTGTGTGTGTGTTTGAAGGGGCCGGAGGTATTATATCCACACAGGAACTGTAACATGCTGCTAAGTTAGGAACTTTCTGAAACACTCACACGCACACAAGAAGCAAACATTGCTGAAAACTGACAGCTGACGGCACACTGACATGGTGCAAAGTGGGAAAACAGACTTAGACACCCGCACTCACACAGACGGTGCCACAGACTGATGATATACACACTAGACTAATTGTTCACAGGTGCAGAGACTGAAAGTCCCTATTCAGCTAAACTTTCTATGATAATGCTATCGTCTGAAAACGTATCTTATCACATTAAGATAAACCCACGAGCAACAATTTTTAATGTGTCCAGGGGAAATAGTGTATTCCGATAATGTCTGCCTTGCTGAACAGGTGGCATTTATGACCAGATAACTTGTTTGTTTGTTTATTTGTAAACTATAACAACTTCAAATTCTAACAAAAGAGAGCCGGAGTGAGCAGAACAGCTGAGACTCAGCAGTGATGGTTGCGTCTCTAACAGATGTTGGCTGTGATGCACCATTTTGTTGTTTGCCAATCAAAAGAGGAAGAACAAGACAAAATGTAATGTTTTCATGCTGCTTTGGTTCACTGTGGACGTCCTGTAAAACACAAGTATGGATGCATATTGTTTTCACATGTAACCACCGTTTTCAGTCCGAATAGGGTGGACGTAGTCTTTTTCTAAGTCTTCTGACCTTCCTCTTTGTCTATTCCACCTCTGGTGGCCCAGGATGTGTGTGTGTGTTTGTGTATGTGTGTGTGTGTGTGTGTGTGTGTGTGTATGCATGTGTGTGTGCGTGACAGAGTCAGGTCTCCAGTGTTAAGAGCTTAGTGCTGCTTTTCTAAAGGGTCTTTTCAGAGTGAGAGGAGCTTTTGACGCCCTGCGTGTCTAAGAAGACCTGGGCATGAAAGAGCAGCACTCAATTCTCACACATGCACCCCTCATCCTTCCCCTCCTCCCTTCTCTTTCTCTCTCACACTGGACACACACACTCTCTCACCTACTGTTATACAGTTTCTGAACCTCTTTTGTA